AAATACTCGACTTAGTCGACTGTCAGCAAACGATTTATTTAGCAACTATTTTCTTGCCAACAACGTTATCTTGCTACTGTATTGTAATGTTCATCAATTGATTTCTGAAGCCTTAACACAGATCAGAAATGGCTCAATGTCGGGTTCGCATACAAGACAAACTTGCGCGTTGAGCATGTTTCGCTGAGATCAAGCCATTATTGCTGAGTAAATGCTGTGTACTCACTCCCCAGGTCGCCTATTCAATATGAACCTTTGGAAAAATTCAACATTGGAGAAATCTATGAAAAATCAACATTGGAGAAATCTATGAAAAGTGTTGTTTCTGAAACGGATTCGAAGACGTGAATTTATTCACACTGGGTTCATGGCCAGGATCAGTCTGCTGCTAAGACTAGTGCTTCCTGTGTGTATACACTTACGCATTACATCGAACGGTGAGCTAGAGCGGATGGCGGCCGTTGCGTGCACACCAAGATCGTCGTACCTTCGAGAGGACCGCTTAGTGGCGGAGAGAGCGGCGGCGGGATTGCGTCGCCGATTGCTGCGTGGTCGAGTCACCCGTGTACGTGTCCGCTGACGAGGTGCCCGAGGACGTCGTCGACGTCGCGGGGACGCCAGTCTTGCCCGACGTGGTGGCCGAAGACGTCGAAGCGGCAGTGGTGGCAGCAGGGGCAGTCGTTGTTTCAGCGGCTGAGGTGGTCGAGGTCGTCGTCTCCGAGGCAGTCGTAGTAGCAGTCGACGTCGTCGCGGCCGAGGTGGAGTCGACACCAGTCTTGCCCGATGCGGTTTCGGTGCTGGCGGTGGTGGAGCTTCCGGTGCTAGGACTGTTGGTGATCTCAATCCAGGTGTTCGTCGACGTTCCCGACGTGGTGTCCGACGAACCCGAGCACGGTGCATTCGCCGTGTCCGTTGCAGCGCCCCACGTACCAGTGGAGCCCCACGAGTCGGACGTCTCGCTAGCAGCGGTCACCGTACCAGCCTGCTCGGTCCCGGTGGTACCCCAAGTGCCGGTGGTGGTGCTGTCGGTGTTCGACGTATCCGCGCCGCTGGTCTGATGCGTCGTGCCGGTCGAGGTTGCACCCCCCGAGGTTTGCTGGGTGGTCGTGCCTGTGCTAGTAGTTGTGTCGGTCGAGGCTCCCCAGGTCCCCGTCGAGCTCTGGTCGCCCGAGCAATGCGTCTCGGCAGAAGTCGTATCGGTGCCAGTTCCCCAGCCGGTCGTGGCCGTCCCAGTGCTGGTTCCATAGCCTGACGTCCCTGTCGTCTGCTGCGAGGTGGTGTCGGTGCCCGAGGTAGTATCTGTTGAAGCCCCCCAAGCGCCCGTGGAGGCCGTGCCGGTAGCAGTACCCCATCCGGACGTCCCAGTCGTGGCAGTGTCGGCGCCAGTGCTGGTTCCCCAGCCCGAAGTCCCCGTCGTCTGCTGAGACGTAGTGGTGTCGGTCGAGGTGGTGCCAGCACCAGAGACTCCTTGTGTACCCGTCGTATCCGAGTCTCCGCTAGCACACGGCGTCTCGGCCGAGTCGGTGGTGGTGTCCGTGCTAGCACTCCACGTGTCGGTGCCGCCAGTAGTGGCAGTATCCGTTCCGGTGCTCGTTCCCCACGTGTTGGTGCCGCTGGTGGTTGCAGTGTCAGCCCCAGTGCTGGTTCCTCCCCAGGTGCCCGTGCCGTTGGTGATGCCGGTGCTAGTTGTCGTCCCTTGCGTAGTCGTGTCCGCTCCCTGCGTCGTGGTGTCCGCCGAGGTAGTTGAAGTCGACGGCGAAGTAGAAGCAGTCGTCGTGTCCGACGAAGTGGTCGTTGTGTCGGTCGACGGAGTGGTCGCAGTCGTCGAGCTTTGCTGGGTGGCCGAATCAGCCGTGGTGCTCGCGGTCGAGTCCGTCGCGCTGGTGTACGAGTCGCCCGATGACGTTGAAGTGGACACGCCCGTGCCCGTTCCTGCCGTCTTGAGATTGCGCAGCGCGCTGTTCTGTCGAACTACCGAGTTGGTGGTGGCGTCCGCGAAAGCCCCCATGGCCAGCGACAGCAGAGCGAGGTGCGCGAAGATCTTGCTGAGGTTCATTCTGCGAGCGTCGAGTACTGCTGAATGGGGCGAGTTGATGGGGCGAATCAAGCTCAGGCGGGTGTTTGTTTTGCTTTGCTTGTGGAAGGCTAAGCAAAATCGAGAATGAGTCGAGTTGACTCGCTCAGCGCAAGTTCATGGGTCTAGGAGCAGCCTGTTCCAGTGCCTCCAAGTTTTATCCATCCTTACGGCGAATCCGTTGCAGGTGTACAGCTCTAAGCTCCAGCTCTAGCGCGAGCTACACCAAGAGGCGGGTCGAGTCCGTGGTGAACATCCTTTTCAGAGATGTGCTCGGAGGCTGCCATCTGACGGGTGCGGCGGAAGTTAAATGCCACAGCACTAGCTGCTAGCTGCTGCAGTCTTCATGTACACATTGTAGCGAGCTAGAGGCAGCGCGGGAAGTGGACACTTCACGCACAAACATGCTGCGCGAACGACACGGCTGGGTGAGGCACCATTATTTAATAGCATGGCAGCTGTGTCATACAGCTCACATGTGTGTTGGTCGGCAGGAGGCTCGGCTTGCAGCTGGCCATCCGCCCCGCTCACGTCCTGCTGGCGCTGCTCGGCCGACATGGAGCTGCCGGAAGCATCGTCTCGGTGTGTTTTGGGCGTAAAGGACCATTGTCTTCTAGACCGAATCTTTCGCTCTCGCTGTCGTGTCGGGTACAAGCAGGCTGCTGTGCCTCAGAGCGCGGCCAGGTCTTCGCGCGAACTCTACATGCGCGAGACCTGCGCAGTCGTAGAGGCCTGCCCATGGTCACCATGGTGCGCCACGCTGCACTTGTACGAAAGTATCCACGCGCTCGGATCTGTCGGGCACATCGTCGACCAGCGTAACAGTACAATGCAACAACGCCGACCATTTCGGTGCACGAAGGCGCGTCTTCAACGTAGAGGGCTTGAGTAGATGCTGCACAGTTATTGCCCTTTGTTGCGGTAAGATCGAGCTAGAACTAAAGTCTTTTCGGTATGTCGTGCGCTAAATGATTTTGGGCGACGCTGTACGGAATACCGTATATGCATGGCGTGTCGAGAACGCTCGGTTTGTGTGTGTGTGGGGGGGGGGTCTTTGTGCCTGTGAGTAAATGCGTTGGGCGAAACCACAGTTACGTGCATTGGTCGTGCTGTTTACTGTGGTCAGATAGCTGGATCGATGGTCTCGACCAAGTTGTATTTTCAAAATGATTCTCAGACGGAATTGGTTAGACAATCGTCAGACGTGAAAATTCGTATGATGTTCGATATTGATGACGTTGGATAGGATAGAGGTAGCACTTGACCGCTTTAGTTGCCGCAGTTGCCCTACAGTGCCAACTACGAAGTGCAACTAGCAGTGCGTAGTTGGCACTGAAGCGGTCGAGTTCTTGCCTCAGTACGCACACAGTCTCGCCGTTGCGTGACCATTAATTGCAGCCAAACAAGTCATTTCCACTACTATGCAGTAAGACTTGGCTGTGAGCTTAGTACTGTAGCCCAGCTCAACTGTCCGCCCAATTGCTCCTACGTGTATCGCTAAGTAGACTCAGCAAATGCGGCACTAACCGCGTAACGCATGCAGAGACGCATTGCTAGGCTTCGACAAGCTGCAGATCTGTCCCTACTTGAGCCCAACTACCTCATGTACTCTATTGCCTGGAATACAGTGGGGGGCCCACTTGGGCCTCTCGAACTAACACACGCGCCAACAGTAGATACCGGCGGTAAAAGCCGTCGATTGTACAGTAGCTCAGGGCTTTTCAGGAATCTTTAGTTAAATAACGCCTGTGATTACTTGGGAGAGTCTATTACATTTTGTGCACAGGCATCTCGAAGACACCAGTCTTGCAGGCCTGCATGCGCACGGCCAAGTCGCAGTAGAGAGCCTGCAGCATTTATTCCACTGCCACCTCTGCGCGCAACGTATCCTAAGCATTATAATATCTCGTGGGCGGGTGGCGTGCCGCCAATCGCACGCTCTGTAATCCTGCTACATTACTGTCCTTGTTGCTACACTGCCTTGAAAATGCTCTTGAACGCGAGGCATGCCGTGTTGGGGTATGCAAGTCCGAGTAGGAACGCTTGAGCGCGCACAGGAAATTGGTTTGCTACACTGGGTACAGTTCCGGTTCGTACCTGTTTCCGCGTCCGCCATGAAATGTGAGGCTCTCCATGCTCCCCCTCCCTCCTCCTCGTCCTTGGTGAAAATGGCGGCTCGCTGCGTCGCTCTCCTTCACAGGTCCCTTCGTCAACGTCTGGAAGCCGTCGGTACTGCCGTCGATCGATGTAACACTCCGCTTCTTGTGCCTTGATCTGTAGTATCTGTTCTGCTCCTTGCACGTCCGCGCATCGGTCTTCATCATGTCCAGCGTAGCCTCGCGCCTTGATCTGTAGTATCTGTTCTTGTGCCTTGCGCTCCTCCTGCCGAATCCTTCGTCCGCCGTCGTGTTGAGTACAAAGTCCCGCTCGGGAGTCCGCCCTACGCCTTGGTCTTGTCGCGCGTCCAGTTCATCTTCCTGGGCCATGCCTTTTACAGCCCGCCCGCTACGGCGGACCCGGTCTTAGCGCGCAGCGAAGCCTTCTGCGCGGCGAGTCCTTGGCCACAGCTTGCTGCCACCTCACCACCTTGCCCACAGAGACGTCCCCACAGTTCCCGCAAGGGACTAGACGCTGCCCGAAGGCAGCGCCCGCAGAGCGACGCTGAGGCTTAGCTCGAGGCCGTCTACCGGGTCAGACACGGTGTCGAACGCAAATTCAGATGTGGCCCACATTGTCATACGAATTTTGGGGAATGACCATTCCATAGGCCTCCATATGTGAAGTATGAGCTAGGTGCGCGTTGTCCGTTGTCAGCCTAAGAGGATTCCCCGGTTTAGACGCGCTTGGCGACCAGCAGCGTTCAAGCACGAGTAAGTTTTCGCGATCCTCCGCACACGTAAATGCTTCCTCAAAGCTGACACTCCAGACTATGAGAGTTAGAGATAGGACGCGGTCGTACTCTACTCTCTCGTCCACACTCATGTCCTGGTCATGTCCTAGATGGATGCTAGGAGTCGGCCTACAAGCCTGATAGATGGGTTGTATGGTCAAAGGTTTTTTACGCTCATGTTTTCCTTCTCGTGCACAGCACGTTTATGGGAGTCATGCGTTGCAGGCATGTGTTGAATGAATCACTCTGAGTTTTACTCTACGATCGACAAGTGTCTTCCAGTCCTCCTACTTCTCTTTACCACTCACTCGATGTGCAAAAGCTGCTACAGACCTGTATATTGCGTCTTCTATATCACACGATCTCCATTATTACCTTGCCTGAATATTGCGGTCGGCACATTGTTCGATCACAAGCGATAGAGTGAGGTACTGGATTTAGAGTAAAGTGATGACTTCTGAGTAACTTCGTAAAAGGCTTCTGGTTTCTTTGGAAAGATGCCATGCCTAGTATGGCAACCTAGAAAAAAGAGGAAGTAGGCACAGCGCAAGTATACATGAGGAGAAGATCATCGGCATTCATGTACCGACGAGAAGAGGATAATAGGAAAGTTAAGCGTCATCAAGCCGAAGACTATACAACCCCCCCCCCCCCAAGACTGCTTGTGGCGTGCTATTCACTTCGTGTGTGCCAGTGCAACAGCCAGCACCTTACGTTGATGTATCTAGCTTCTAGTTTATACAGCAAACTAACTCCAAAAGAAATATCCTTACTCGAAAGTTGAAGCATGTTACTCTTACTCAGAAGTCAGGAGAATCTCGAGGGTAACGACGATTACAGTTGAGTGTAGGCTCCTGGGAGTCGGTGTCTCCGCATTAAAGTCCCTGGTAACACGTTTGCGGCTGCGAAATCAGTATGGGAAGTTGCTTAGTACAATTGAAGCTACGAAGGCAACCACGAACAGAAGCGTTACCTTTGAGCTAACGTTAGCTTGCATTTGTCACACAGCACGTTGTTGCACAAATGATGCACCTGTCGGCCGCATACACAGCACGGAAAAGTCTCCGATATGGCACTTTGGTGGCTTCGCGCACTTTATGGCACGTTTGCGTGAAGTTGGAAGCCTAGAGGGAGATTGGTGCGTGGCCACTCACTCGTGCTATCTGAGGAATGGGTACATTAGTAGTGATAATAGCACTACTATTGGCCACTATATAATTAGTAATGGCTCCAGCTATACACATATCGACGAAAGATAAGGCCTACGGACAGAGAAAGACTTACGCACACCCATACAAAAACGCAGTGTTACATTTTTGTGTGCAAGCGATATGCGCAGTCCCGACAGGCAAAATTACATAACCATAGTAAAATCCATATAGAATACGCGGGAAGATTTGTTGTGCATATTCCGGCCAATAGGCCATATCTTCCGTCGATATGTGTAGCTGGGGCGAAGCGAGTAAATAGTAGAAACACACAAAAGTCTGAAAAACACACAGCCTTAGGGGTAGGTCCACCATATTAGAAGGCGGTAATGAGCGGTTGCGAGGAGCGTAGCCGTAGCAAACCCGCGCGGGGTGCCCGCGAAGCAGGGCCGCGCGGTATTTGCGGAGGCGGGCCCAGCGACGAGCATTCCAGCGAGCGGACCCATTGCCGCAACTCGGAGTTAGTTTTTCTACTGCGGGGGTCTGGGGGTGCAACCCCCAGAATGCTTTTATTAGAAGGTCCCTGATTTGCTGTGTGCTTTTCACGCGTTCTTGGGCGAAGCCCCCCTATAATCATGTGTTTTATGTCCTCTTGAACCCTCTTTACAGGAAGCAAATCAGAGATTAAGAAGAGGTTAGGGCTTACATCTATCATACCGCTCTCCGGGGCCAAAAACACGCATTTTACCTGGTTTTAAGCACCAACAGTATGATTGTAAGCTTAACTTAGTGTAGAGATTATCCAGTGCCACCTTCTACGAACGGTGTTAATGTTACTATCTCGAGGGTTATTTTTATCACCGCACTGAACAGGCGTTTGCTAAGCTGAGCGACGAATTAGGTTTCAGGCTCTCGAATTACAGGATAAATAGACATTTCACTGGTCTTTTATCACGACGATACACTGTTTTAACCCCTCTAACCCCGTATTCTGTATCCTACAGAATAAGCATTTTCACAGGACATAATATCCAGCAAACTTGTCCTCTCTTTCGAGCTTCTCATATGGATGTTTGTATAGCCGGTATTGTGCACATCTTCCTGTTAGATTAGCGATGGGAAGATAGACGGGGTTTATTCCGCGGTAATAGACGGACGAGTATAAACCACCAACAGGTTTAAAAATTCGGGTGGAAGCCTAAAACCGCCGCGTGTCAGCCACTCGTACTTTCCTTCATTCCGAAACTGCGCTGTTCAAGACGTCGCAATGCAAGCTTTGTTGGGGCCCGTCGAGCGTGCCCAAGTGGCCAAGGACCATGGCCGAAGACGATCATGATGAGCGTCATTGTGATCTACAGGTAAGCGAGAGCGTGTGCTTTGCTCTGTAACATCGTACTAGTGGTATATTGATTCTACGTTGCGATGTTGATTACCAGACCTGGTGATCCGACCCAGACGACGCTATGAGCTCTCGCGTGTGGCCCGATTGGCAGATCGATTGCGGAGTCAGCGCACAACCTCATCGGTTCCTACGAAGCCGGCTACAGCCGGGTCTACCGCTATATTGTAGCTGATGCAGTGGCTACTCAAGAGGCTACAGAAGAAGCGCTCCTCATGGTGTGGCTACACCGGAGACTACAGAAGAAGCGGTAGATGCTACGACGGATGCTACAGAAGAAGCTCATCGCGTGATGAGGTTACACCGGAGATTACAGAAGAAGGGACAGAGGCTACGACGGAGGCTACCGATGAAAGCGGCAGGAATGAAGCGGCAGTGCCGGAGGCTACAGAGCAAAGCGGAGGCTGCCAAAATGGCGAAGATGACCCACGGCTGGCGCGAACATTGAAGAGCGTGCGCATGTAAAGGGAGAAGTAGACGTTGGCATGAATATCATATATTGTCCTGTTTCGTACAAGAGGAACCGTGTGCAGTGCGTGTCATTACGGGCTATTGAGCATGCAAGCTCCCTGGTGTTGTTAGAGAGACAATCGTAACAAGCTTGTTAGGTGGGCTAAAGAAATCTAATGATGCGCTAATGTCAAGCACAAGGAAGAATTCACCCAGTTCCTCCTCACTACGTCAGTTAGGAACTGGGCGATTTCTTCCTCCGCGTTTATCGCGACGTGCCGAAGATGGGTGGCTGGAGCCGAAGTATGCTGCCTTAGCAGCCTTGCAAGGTATTACCATGTAGCAGGTTTTGAGCGTGCTCTACGCTCGCCACGACCAATAGAAGCTCGCCATTTCGGCATATGGTGGATACATTGAGCATGTTTTGTGCACTTTCGTAGCTGTTCTGTGCACAATGTACCCAGCGCTTGACCGCAAGATGCGAAAGGGCTTCCAACAGCAAATCTTTGACAGGTTTTGAAGTATACTTTAATCAAGTCTAATGCTTATTCTGTAGGATACAGAAGAAGGTCTGGGGCTAGAAGAATATGCCTACTAACGCTACTATTCTGGGACTACTACCAAAGCAAGTTCCGGTGGCTAGGGTTGGCAATTCACGTTTAATTACCAGTTATTAACGGTTACATTCAGTTAAAAAGAATGTTCACACGTAATTCACAGCTGATGTTCACTGTGAATATCGAAGTTGCGCAATACAGAGAGGAGGTATTGAAGTTAGGCGGTCTTCCCCGCTCCCCCTTCGGAATCTAGAGGCTTCACACTTAGATCCCCCCCCAGAGCCCTTGCTTGGCCGAACTGGTGCCTTTGCCGACGCGCGACCTGCACTCGTCGTTGGCAGCGAGCTCCTCGACGCAACTGGCAGTGCCCCTCAACGACTGCAACTACCTTGTGAACTTGCTGCTGCTGGTGTGCAAGGCGCGACCTTCTCGGCGCCTGAACGACTGACCGTCTGTCCTCGACTCTGACGTGTCCAACCTCCAGACTCCGTTACCGTAGACCCTCGTGCGTACTGCTCCAAAGCCGTGGTGTGTCCCTCAAACACCTGTGAACATCAGCAAGGAGGGCGCAATGGCTCCGCCGAAACACAAAATTTGGGCTTTGTTTCGTGAGCACGCACCCAGAATTAAGGGTGTAAAACCCCATCCTGATGCCATGTGCTTGGGTTGCGAAATGGTGGTGCCGAACGCGCAGCCGTCGCGAAACTGGTGCAGCATACGATCAAGTGCGACAAGATCGGCGAGGAGACGAAGGAACGGTGGCGGCGCCACGAAGCGGACCTCCGACACAAGCAAGCGGCGAAGCTGACAACCCCTTCGAAGCCTCGGGGCCCAAGAACGCCAACATTGACGAAGCGACTTTTTGGTACGAATTCACCACGGAGTAGCGGCTCATCTCGCCCGCGCAAGACCCCGCGGCCATCACCATCGTCACAACCCACACAAAAGAAGTCGGCCCAAGAAATCAAAGAAGAGAATTATTTGCGGGTTGCAATTGGGCTTATTTCGACTGGGATCCCTTTTCGTGTTGTGGAGGAGCCTCTTTTCCAAGCTATGTTTAACTATGAATTGCCTTCTCGACGTCAAATTTCGGGGCGTTTGCTGGACGTCCTTTACGACCGCGAGAAGACTCAGTTGATTTTGAGAATAACGGAGAGTGGCGTGACGAACTTGGCCTCATTACGGATGGGTGGTCCAACACAAATGGGGATAGCATTATCAACTTTGTTTTTGTGAACCCTCGGACCCCACCTTTATTTTGGAAGTCGGTCAACTCAAAAGCTGAAGCTCATACGGCAGAGTATATCGCTGGTACAATTTGGTCAACCATTTTGGAGTTCGAGTCTGTAATTGGTTCAGGCAAAGTCACTTCAGTAGTGACGGACAACGCTGCCAACATGAAGAAGGCGTGGCGACTCGTAAGAAAACAGCGCGTCGGACTTGTATGTACGGGCTGTACTGCGCACGGCATGAATCTTCTGATGAAAGATATTTTCAATCTGGATTTTTTCAAGGATGTGCTTGACCGTGCAAAACAACTGGTTCGGTTTTTCAAGGATCATCGGCGCTTGTGGTCAAGATTTCGCGATCTGCAAAAAAGCGCTTCGAAAGAAAGGGGAAAAACGGCGGCGCCTCTCGCTACCAGTGCCAACGCGGTGGTATACACATGAAAAATGCGTCGCGAACGTCTTTCACAACAAAGACATCATTGCAGCTATTTTCTCGGACACGGCGCTGCTTAAGAACTACAAGGGAGCATCACTAGACGAGGCACTCGTTATTTTTCGCTATGACGATTTCTGGCAAAAAACTGCCGTTGTGTTGAAGCTCATCCAGCCAGTCAACAAGTGCCTCGCTGCGTTTGAGCGCGACGCCTGCAGCTTGTCGTTGGTGTATCACCAGTTTAGTTGGCTATGCAAACATCCAGTCTACACCGAGCCGCTTGATGATTGTAGCGTGTTGCTACAAGCGGAGGTGCTCGGGCTGATAAATGCCCGACGAGGAAAAATATGCACGCCGACGGTGAAAATTGCATACCTGCTTGACCAGACCAAGACCATGTACGATCCGAACGATCTGGAGGTCAAGGCACTGATTAACGATGCCGCGCAACTTGCCCAGGACTTGCAATTGGTACCGACAGAGTTGGCGGAGAAATTTCACAAGCAGCTGCAAGACTTTGTCCTCATGAAGTCTGCGTGGACAGGTAAATCGCGTGAAGATAACAACGCCTACAGCCCGATCGCATGGTGGTCGCTAGAAACCTCGAACACCTACGCGTTGGTGCAGGAGTTCGCAAAGTTGCTGTTGTATATCCCAACGTCGTCGGCGTCCAGCGAGCGTAGTTGGAGTATCCACGGATTTATCCACACGAAGCTGCGAAATCGCCTCACGCCTGAGCGTGTGAACAAGCTTGTGTTCGTTTATACGAATATTGCGCGAAAATCCGAAGTGAACCATATCCTATACCAGCTCTATCCAGACGCATACGACGACAGCGACATCAGCGATGAGAGCGAAGACGAAGAAGATGAAAATGTCGCTAGCAACCACCACCGGGCGGCGGTTACTGCTATTACCTCTGAGTGCGAAGAAAAGGAAGCGGGTGAAGACGTGCAAGAAGCTGCAGCGCCAGCTCAGAATAGGTTTCGAACCCCTCCAGCTTCTCAAGTACGCAGAGCGGTAACATGGGAAACAAGATAATATATGTTCGATATTGCTCTTTAATAACAGATTTTATACTATTGTTGTTCATGCTATCCTTCGTCCTCTTCGCAAACGAGAGCCGGCATCAAGCCCTCGGTGTGACCATCAACGGCGTGGCCAAGCACACCACCATCGCCGGCTTCGCCTAGTACTTGGGCTCGGTCGAGATCTCCACCTCCATCGCAAGCTTGAGCACGGAAGCGGACATCGACGATGAGTTACTGCACCGGTTCGGCACCGCGATCGACGTCTACGCGTACTCGGACGAGCACGCCACGATCGGCTCGGTCATCCTCGTGAACGGCCTGCTCCAGCCGAGCTTCGTCTCGGGCTTCCTGTCGTACATGTCCGGCCCGTTCTTCGTCTATAGAGACTCGTCGTTGCTGGAGGACGTGAAGATGGCCAAAAGCGACGGCACGACCCACACCATATACGACTCGGACGGCAACCTGGTCTTTAGCTACTTCAACGCGTACGATATGTTCGTGGACCTCGCGTCGGGCACGGGCCGGACCATGAGCGCGCGCAAGCGGTTGCAGATCTCGTACGCGCTGTCCGCCTCAACCACTGCGAACTACGCCTCCATGAGCGATCTCATGCGGCCGCCACTACCAACGGATGTGGTGCTGCCGACCTACTGGGTGCAGGAGGCGGTCGAGGCCAAGCTCAGTTGCGCCGGACACGTTCACGAGCGCTCTCACGCTCCCCAAGACGTTCCTGCCGGGCCTCATCGTGTTCATCATCGTCGGCGTGCTCGAAAGGGGCGGCGGCGTCTTCCTCTAAGATCGCCACAAACTCAAGGTGGAGGCTAGCGCTACATTAGCGTCATCTAGAGGACACGAAGTCACATACTCAGTACCTAATTATATAGCCCCCGTAATGTTAAAATGCGGACAGTACATTGCACCTTCATCGCGTCCATTTCTGCATATGGGGTCTTGAATTCACCCATTCTCCTTCTTGGTCAGCCTCCTTCTTCTTGCTGTATCCCTCGATCTTGGACTGGGTGGGCGTGCGTGAAGACCCACGAGCTGTTCATGGTGAACTTGAATTCCTTGGCACTCCCGCCGCCCTACTGTCGCTGCTACTTCTTCGCCTTCTGCGGCTGCTGCTGCCAGTTGCTTGGCCCGGCGTACTTGAGCAACGCTACCTGCTTGGCGTTCGACGCGATGGATATCACCGGGCCGTTAATCTCCTCCTGCATATGCTGTCTGGGTGACTTCTTCTGGACGATAGAGCTGAGAGGCCGAGCAGTGGGCCGCGGCCGCTCGAAACACCCCCCCCGGTGCGCTAGACGGCGAAATTAGTCTGTAAGGCGAAGAGACTCGGGAATTGGTCCATGTAATGTAATGTATTACGTTTTCGCGTTGCCACACTATGCTGTCGCTAGGCTCAGCTTTGCTAGTCGACGGCATAAGGTGGTGTCCGCATACGTCGGGTCCTTCTTCGCCGGCAGTGCGGCGACAATTGCCCTCTCGAGGGCTTTCCATTTAGGTTTCTCTTGTGCAAGCAGCCGAAGTTGGTCCAGGTCACGGCGGGTCTCGAGGCGATAGGCGTATTCGCTCGAGATAAGGTCCGCATCGAGCACAGTCGGTAGTGTCGTGCGTGGGCGTCCACGCCAGGTTCCCTTGGACGACGAGTCGAAGTAGGCGGCCATCTGGGTGTACGCTGGGATCTCGGGCCGGCGCAGGACGTGGCCGAACAGACGCCATCGTGCTGCTGTGATTCTGTGGCGGAGCGGGCGTTCCTGACAGATTTCGTAGAGCGTGGCGTTAGAGATTCGCTGAGGGTAGCGAATGTTTAGTACGCTACGTAGTTGTCGGCGGTGGAAGCTTTCGAGCCCGCTCAGCTCGGACGGCGTCAGTGCCCACGTTCCGCTGTTGTACAGCAGAACAGGAAGCACATAGCAGTTATACAGCCGGACTCTGGTGGCATCACTGACGTACTGGGGCCGGATCCATATTGTCCAGAGCCGACGTAGCGCGCCTGCTGCGAGTATTTTGCGTCGTGTCAGATCTTCTGAGTCGCCGAGTAGACTGCCAAGCTTCTGTGTGGAGCGCCACGCCTCTTCTGTCGCCCGAGCGTGTCGGGAGTAGCCCGACGAGCCTGTACATCGCTAGTTCTGTCTTGGTTGCATTCATCTGGAGGGACCAGCGTGCGAACACTGCTGGTGCTTCGGCTTGGATGCGCTGGACCAGCTCGGTATCGCGGCAGACAAAGTCTGCATCATCAGCATAGACGATCATTTGGTCGAGTAGGGTCCGATTCACTCCGAGGTGGGATGCGAGGTCGCGTAACGCAGCTTCCAGGTAGATGACGAACAGGACCGGTGAAAGCGCATCGCCCTGCGGCGTTCCGATGTTGCTATCGAAGCTGTGTTGTGCCTTGGACCCGGAGCGCAGAGAGAGCTTGGTGTCGGCGAGCAAAACCTTGATCAATCAGACCTCGTCGTCGTGTAAGAATGTCTGGAGTACTTCTACAAGCTTGACGCGGTCGATTGTGTCGAACGCGCGCGAGAGGTCGATGCCGAGGACATGTATGGTTTCACGATAGCGTTGCACGCGGGCACAGAGCCATTTGTGCGCCCACATGGCGTCAGCAGTGCTTCTGTGTTTGCGGAATCCGCTTTGATTGGGGGACAGGAATGTGTCCACCGCAGCGGATATCCGTGCGAGTACGACGAGAGATAAGGCCTTGCGAATGCTGCTTAACAGCACGATGGGGCGGAGACTGGAACATACACCTCGGGGCTTGTTGGACTTGGGCAAGCACACGAGTGTTCCTTCACCGAGTGCGAGGGGGGTGCCTTGCTCGAAGCTGCAGTTGACGAGGTCTGCGAAGAGAGGCGCGAGGACTGAAGCCCCGTACTTAAGAAGTTCTGCTGGGAGCTCATCTGGCCCAGCGGCGCGTCCGTTGTTGAGGCGCCGAAAGGCTGCTTCGACTTCTGTTGCTGTAACAGGGCGGGTTAGAGATCGCGGTTCACGATCCGGATCAGGATGTGGCCGCCCCGGGTCATAGAACAGCGTTCGGAAGTGATCTGTGATCACCTTGTTAGTAGTTTGTTGCCGCAGGATATACTTACCTTCTTGGTCGTGGAGTAACAGCGGTTGGAGTCGATGGGGGCTAATGTCTCGAACTGCTGCATACATTCGTGCCGAGTCGCTCAGATTTTCGATGCGTGTAATCCGCTCGTCCAGTTTGCGAGATGCGATGGCTCGGCATCGCGCTCGGATTTGATGGAGGATCTTGTTGCGGGCGGCTCGGAGCTCGATCGTGTTAGCGGCGCAGTCGTTGTAGATTCGAAGCTGAAGCGCCCGCTGGGCCTCAGAGAGCAGCTAAAGTTCATCGTCGTGATGTCGTACGTGGCGGTGGTTAGGACCTGCGAATCCTATAGTCCCCTCGGCTGCTTCTCGGATTCGATCGAGCGTGTCTGTCCAGCGCTGGAGAACGGTGCTGCCTTGTGCTGTTGGCTGTGAAAGCGCTGCCTGAAGCGCGTTCGTGTAGTCGTCTCGTGCTGTGTCGTCGTAGATGAGATGATCTCGTGCTAACTTGAGTGCTGGATCTGGCTTGACCGCGCTGTAGCGGAGACGGTGAGTGGCCGCGTTCAGGATGAAGTCGGCGGTGACGAGCTTGAGGTCCGACGCCGTCAACGTTCCACCCCAGGATCGTGCGTCCATGCAGAGCCGTCGGCAGTTCTGAGGGCATAGGATATAGTCGATTTGGTTGTAAATACAGTGATTCGTCCGGCGCTGACTCCATGTTGTTTTGTGGCGGGCTCGCTTTTGAAAACCTGTGTTAGTGGCAAAGAGAAGGTGAGTAGAACAGAAGTCAGCTAGTGCGTGGCCGTTTCGGTTGCGTATGCCTCGTGCATGTGGTCCCATGAATGCCTCTCCGTTGATCTGTTGTCCGAGCTTGGCGTTGAAGTCGCCGGTCACGAACGCGATGTTGCGCCTTGGTAGTTGGTCAAGTGTGTCGCTGAGATCAGCGTAGAATCGATCTACTTCGGCGAGAGGCCGACCGCTGTGGGGAGCATACGCCGTGACGATGTTCACGGGGCCTGCGTGGGGGAGTAAGAGCTGAACGACGCCGATTCGATCGCAGTGTGCCCAATAGCAGTGTAAGTAGGGGCGGACGCGGGGGGAGATGGCAAAGCCGATCCCATGGCGCTCCTGTACGGCTGGTAGTGTGAGTAGCGTGTAGTCTCCGATACGTTTCTTGTCGAGGGTGCAGATGCGTGTTTCTTGGATGCCGAGAACGTCGATGCGGTAGCGCCGGAGGTCCTGGGGGAGCGTGTCCTGCTGCTTGCGGGTCGAACCTAACGACTGGACATTAAACGAACCTATCCTAAAACGGTTAGTTTGATGCGCGCGGCGAGGAGAGCGCGGTAAGAGGGTGGGAGGTGTAGTTGTCGCTAGTGCTGCCGGCTTGGGGGCGAAGGAAAGAACCGCTAGGGACGTACAGATGCCCGAGAGCACCTGCCGGAAGCGCGTAGCTAGCATCATGCTGGCCACGCATTCCGGGGGAGGGCGTCACCCCAACCCCAACCAAAAAAATTGGTCCATGACGTAGATAAATGTGAAAATCGGAAGAGCACGGTTATTAACAGTTAATAACCCTGATTTAAATTTCACGGATATTAACTAGTGCCAACACTACCGGTGACTCCCTGCGCCCATGAAGCGGCGGATACCTCGCGGTCGCGGCGATAGCTCGCTACCGACGCCGGCGCGACCCCGCAGCGGCCAGCGCAAGCCCGAGTGGAACACGTACCTGACGGACGACTCGCAGTACAAGCTGAGCCAGCAGCAGCAGCTCCAGCGCGCGCTGCAGCAGCTGAGCGCGGCGCACTTCTCGGCGCGCAGCCCGGCCGCGTCGGCCTCTCGACGGCGCATGGCGGCCGCCAGCGCGCACAGCTCCGCGTGGAGCACGCCGCGGAGCGCACAGAAGCGGTCCACGCGTCTGGCCGACGTGCAGGACACGGGGGAGCTGCAGACCGCGAGGCGCCTGCAGTTCGCGGACGAGTCCATGGACCTGGAGGAGCCCACTCCGCGACGCCGGGCGGTGGTGGCCAATGCCGTGACCTTCCAGGTGGAGGAGGACGAGGACAGGATGGACCCGCGGCACAAGGCCAACTTGCAGGGCGAGCTGGAGGTGCTGGAGCAGATGCTGTGGGAGCTCGAGACCGAGACAGAGAGGATCAGCAGGCAGCAGACCCCGCAGAAGATGCAGATACAGCAGAGGAATAAGTCGCCAAGAGTGGGGAGAACTGGGTTGGCGACCAAGTTGAAGGAGGGGCTGGGGCCTCGTGAGGGGCAGGAGGGAGTTGAGCAGGATGGAGGCTACGAAGAAGTTGTGCGACCAAGAGAAGATAACGAGAGGGGTCTCGAAGAACGAGATGACGATGAAGAAGAAAGAGATCGAGATGAAGCGGGACTGGCAGCGGAAGAGCGACTTGGAGACGTGTGCTATAAGTCTCTGGAGATAGGTCTGGAGTTGGCTCGCAAGATGGATACGGTACGAGTGCAGATGGTTTGGGGTACGGTGATTTGAGGCTTACTCTGTGTGGCGATGGGAACGTTGTTGCTTGCAGCTGAAGAAAGAGCTAGACAACGAACGGAGGCTACGTGAGGATCGAGACCTGAAAGTGGAGATGCTGGAGCAAGAAGTACGATCGACACAGGCCAAGTGCAATTACTTGGAGTCGAGGTACCAGACCGTAGCATCTCAGGTCGATGGAATGGTGCGTGGCAAACTCAGGAGATGGCTAAAACGATTCGGAAAAACTCGCTAATTTGTTCGTTATTACGACTGCATTCGTAGCGAGAGGCGGTTATCGCCACGGAAGAAGCAATTCATCGAATGACGCTAGCGTTCGAGTATTCGCAGCGAAGACGATCGAACCCAACGACGCCCAGCAAACCAGGTACTTCGCATTAAACAGTGTTTGCCCGTTCGACAATGCAGCCTTAAACCTCACGTGTGGTCCTCTATTCACAGACGCTTCCCGATCCCCCCACCCTCCTAATGATGTCCTTAAACGGCCAATGAAGGCTGTGACACCAAAGAAACCGAGGAAACCAGTGGATAGCCAGGAAAACTGGACCCCCAACAAGCAGCAGTAGCCTGCAAATACTGCCAGGGACAGGCGCGATTTTTGCAGCGGCACCGAGCGTAGTCGTGCGTGCTTCTATGCTTGGTTTCGCATAAACGCAAGCTGGTTTACACCTTTGGTGTTACGACTTCGAAGTATTGAAGTTTGCCCGCCCAAAAGGACAGACTCGGTTCGACAAGGAGAGGGATAGGCGGCTTGGGTGGATCTACACAGGCAAGCGAGAGTGCGTTGAACGTGCAAACTCTGCGGTGCTGTTGCAGAATAGGGAGTCGGCTGCGAGCTGTGTGATCACCTGCGCACGAACAGCGCCGGCTGGTGATTGAAATGAGCCCGTGCATTGACTACATGAAGTCATGTCCTTCTGAACGTATCCAAACGCGGCTGCAACGCTTCAACCAGGTGAAGTGCCACCAGGAGAAGAGGCAATATCAAGTTGACAAACGTCAATTGCGGCTCTCCAAACTGTCGACACCAAAGTTCGCCATATACAATATCTTCGTCTCGACACGGCGACATCAAGACTTTCCCCGCACTCCATCGACAAATATCTTTGGTGGCGAAGTGATCTAGCCTCGTTGACGAGAACGTGGGGGTCAGAGCTTGTCACTTGCGGACGTTGGGTCCAGTTGGTGCCAGACCAAGGTGACTACAATGCGGACAAAGATCGCTCACATGCCGGGGTGGTCAACATCACTCTTGCCAGTCGTGCGCTTTTGGCCATCCGGTGTCCGTTCCATCGTGATGGAAGTGAACATGGCGCTTTTCGGTTATCTTCATGTGGCAGTCGAAACAGCCTGCAACGCTGAAGTGTGGTTCTGTCTGGTAGATTGGAGCGATGAACCCGTGAGGAGGTTATGGTGGGGCCACTTGCTGCAATGGAGATGTCGCTCCAGGTTTTGCTCACTTTCAAATTTGCCTCACGCTTACCAGCAGCCCAGCTTCAACCCAACTTCACCGAAGTCTTCTACCCCATCCAAGATGAACCTCACCAAGATCATCGCGCACCTCGCCGTCCTGTCGGCTGTCATGGGCTCGCTCACGGAGGCAGGCAACACCGAAGCACCAACTGCTACGACATCCCCCGATGTACCGACAGTAACAATGACAGACTCCCCTTCGTTAACCTGGTCCAGCTCCGAATCAAGTACAACAACCACCGGCGCAGTGTCGGCTGGTGTCGGCGTCGGTGTGAATGGCGCGGCCAATGCAGGCGTGTCGGGCGCTGCTAACGTCGGTGTCGGTGCTGCTGTTGCGGGCTCCACCAGGGGCGGTACTTCCGGCGGAGTGTCGGCTGGTGTCGGCGTCGGTGTGAATGGCGCGGCCAATGCAGGCGTGTCGGGCGCTGCTAACGTCGGTGTCGGTGCTGCTGTTGCGGGCTCCACCAGGGGCGGTACTTCCGGCGGAGTGTCGGCTGGTGTCGGCGTCGGTGTGAATGGCGCGGCCAATGCAGGCGTGTCGGGCGCTGCTAACGTCGGTGTCGGTGCTGCTGTTGCGGGCTCCACCAGGGGCGGTACTTCCGGCGGAGTGTCGGCTGGTGTCGGCGTCGGTGTGAATGGCGCGGCCAATGCAGGCGTGTCGGGCGCTGCTAACGTCGGTGTCGGTGCTGCTGTTGCGGGCTCCACCAGGGGCGGTACTTCCGGCGGAGTGTCGGCTGGTGTCGGCGTCGGTGTGAATGGCGCGGCCAATGCAGGCGTGTCGGGCGCTGCTAACGTCGGTGTCGGTGCTGCTGTTGCGGGCTCCACCAGGGGCGGTACTTCCGGCGGAGTGTCGGCTGGTGTCGGCGTCGGTGTGAATGGCGCGGCCAATGCAGGCGTGTCGGGCGCTGCTAACGTCGGTGTCGGTGCTGCTGTTGCGGGCTCCACCAGGGGCGGTACTTCCGGCGGAGTGTCGGCTGGTGTCGGCGTCGGTGTGAATGGCGCGGCCAATGCAGGCGTGTCGGGCGCTGCTAACGTCGGTGTCGGTGCTGCTGTTGCGGGCTCCACCAGGGGCGGTACTTCCGGCGGAGTGTCGGCTGGTGTCGGCGTCGGTGTGAATGGCGCGGCCAATGCAGGCGTGTCGGGCGCTGCTAACGTCGGTGTCCGCGCTGGCCTGCGCGGATCTGCCAACTAGGGCGTGTCGGGCTATGATAACGTCGATGCGACTCCCGCGCTTTGCCAGTAAGCGAACCACCAGCTGAATTTATGTTACAACTGCTCAACTTAGCTTCATGCCAAGCCCCTTGATAGATCAATTTACACAATACTTGTAATGCATATGCATTCCCTTTGAGCAATTTGTTGCTCGCGCGGCAGGTAACTCGCCGCTGTGGTCGCCATCGACGAGCATTTAAGTTGCAGACTATTGAGAGCAACAGGAGTGCGGTGGCGTCGGCCGTGCACAAGGCATACGCAGTGCTTGCTTTGCCTGCGTCAAAGACGCATCGATTCGGTCTCCACGGTAGTGGAGATAACGCATGACTAAGATTTCGAACTGTCCGGGAAGCCGTTGCGACGTAGCAGGACACCTTCCCAGCGCGTTCGCCCCACGTGGCGACCACTTCAACTGGAGCGGCCAATAAAAACCTCGCTTGAGGCGCGGCAAATTGGCCAAAGGCTCAACCAAAACTTGATCACAACGCTGGAGTTCTCGCCGAGTCGCTTGAACGGCGGCGCGCAGGCAAGGTAGAGCTACCCAGCCACCCACTCGTCAGGCCAGCAACTTGGGCGTCTCACGTAACGGTTTGGTAGCTTGGCGTGCGCTACGTCAGCCAAAAAGTGCACGCTCCGAACGGAGCAGTGCTGAGCCACGTCGAGCTGAGCGAAGTGCTGCTCACGGCTGAGAACTTACCCAGCTATCGATTGCATTGCAAGTCTGCTGAAGCCGCTGCCAGCAGCATGCACTCCTGTCGGCTAAACTGAGCAAGGGGCCGGTTAAACGGCACTTCAGGATAAGCCAGCCAGCTACGAGCCATCCCAGCACTCTGCCATCGAGCAGCAACGGCCGACATCTTAGTCTCATGCCTACTACTACTACGTAGTGGGCATGAATGGCATCGGCATCGACGGTGAGGCTGGCGTTGGCTTCGAGGTGCCCGCCGGCGCATGCAGCGACATCCCCGCGCGAAGCGGTGGGGAACGCGCTTTCGGTGTCGTGCCGGCGGGCGACCGATGCCAAGATCGCCGTGGTACATGCACTAGCAGTCCGCATTTATTTTTCGACTCATTGCCGGCTCAGAGAGGGCCGGAAATAGAGCGGAAGGGCGAGCTGCCACGCGCGACTTTGTCGGCCGCCCGGCCACGGGAGCTCAATGCACTCTGCAATTCGCGATCTGCCAGCCAACACGCCGAGGACCGAGCCAGCCCCAGCCATAGAGGAGCATGAACCAACTGGAAGCACCCGTCGCCCGAGGCCCGCGCGCGCACTTGGCGGCAGCTGCAGAGTCTGTTCCCCCTCCTGCGCCGTCCGAGGTGGGAGCTAAAGACGTGAAGCAGCTCGACGGCCCCGAGGTCGACCACGAGGACGACGAGCAGTCCCAGCAAGAGCGACAGAGTAGGGCGAGCCACGACGGTGACTACAGTGGCAATCAGCACGGCCCCAACGGTTCCTCGGACGACGCCTGCGAGCCCATGGTCTCCTACGACGGTTTCGAGTTGTTGGGCCAGACTTTCGGCGTTGCGGGGTTGCCCCGCTTTGCTCTGGCCGACCACGAGGACGACGACGTGGTGAACGTCCGCTCGCCCATTATCTGCAAGCCGGCGAGCTCGGACGCCGCCTGCACGCGAAGCGCCACGCTGAGCCCAACGTGCGTGTCGGCGCTCGCTCGAGACGAAGTCGGCCGAGGCGACGAGCCCTCGTGGACGATCCAAGAGTTCCAAGAGTACTTGGGTATGCTGGAGCTGCTCCAGGAGGTCTGCAGTAGCTCGGAAGGCGACGAGCTGTGCTTGTCGGCCGACAGTCTCGGCCAAATGGAGCGGCTACTGACGTCGCTACTCCCCCAAGGAGCGTGAACCCACTTCACTCACCAAGTAGACATCAACAAGTAAGTCGGATCATCGTTAGACATCTTCATTTCTATCAGCACGAGCCCCTTGTACAAGTTACTCATCGAAATAGACGCGGCTGCATATCGTGATACGCTGACTCCACTGCCTGGTTGATGATCCTTCTCTCGGAGCTCGCAGGCTGGTGATGCAGACCAAGTAACGTAGGCGAGTCGCTGGCCGGGTCCAGCTCCAGCTTCTCCGGTCGGTAAACGGTAACTTTCCCCTCTGCCGGTCGTGGCTGTGGCTGCTGGACGCTCCGCACGATCGAAGCCCCTGCGTGGCGAATCGGAGACGACAATAAGTGCTGCTGATGCTGCTGGCTGCCACGCTTGAGTCCGTTCTTCTTCAACGGCGACAATTCCTTGGGTGGTTTGACCTGGTTGGACCTGTTCGTTCCTGCGTCCCGAAGCGACGTGAGCTCTGGAGCGCGTTGTACCTGTGACGGCGGCAAGAACAAACACGGAGAGAACGACTCGGTCTTGCCATTGATCTGTGGAGTTCTCTCGGGGGTGAGCGCGTGAATGGCATCGCTGCTTCCCGCTGTAGACACTGCGCGCGACAATTCCGACTCCATCGCTGGAGTGATTCGATCACCGGGATCGAACGTGAACAGAAGTTTGAACTCGATGTCCAATGCTGGGGGTGAAGACGTCTGGACACTCGCACCGTTCGTGTTCTCCTCAATCCAGAAGGTGTAGACATGCTCTCCAGGCAACAACGCGTTGTACTGTAGTTGCGCGCGCTCGCCTTTCAAGTAAAACCGCGAGTGACTGTCAAATAATACGGCCTCGGGAACATCCACGGCCTGCATCCCTGTGGCGTCGCACACGCGCACCATGAGCTTGCCTCGGCCTTTCACGCTCGCCACCAGTAGCTGCTCGAACTTGCGGATCTTGAACACTACCGGGATGCTGGTCGGCGTCAATACGCGTCTCTCGCGTCGATAGAAGCGCAACGGACCGTCGTCTGTAGTAGCGGTAGGAAGCGCTACGTCTTCTGAGGATGACTCGTTATCTGCATTGGTCGATGGCTTTGCTGCTTCCTGCTTCTGTTGATGTGCGGGTGGGGACGCCATGTTAGCGAACATGCTGACCCGCTTCGTGTTACCACGACCCAAGTCGACATCGTTGACCGACCGCCTCCGCGTGGGCAGTCCCGGTGGGGCCTTGACAGTCGGCCACGACTGAGGCGGTTCCCCAGCCGGAGTAGTGGGGAACAATTCTTCGTATAAATCAAAGTAGATGGCGTCGTCTTTGAAGGCTTCCTCGTTCACGTTGCGTTGGCGCACGAGCTTGCCCGTCCTGTACCAGTCGAGGATCATCTCGAAGTGCTGCGGGTTGCGGTCGATGAAGAACGCGTCGTCCAGGCAGCTGACTTTGCCGCAGCCGCACGTGATGATCTGGTTGAGTCGCTTGAGCGGGTACTTGGCGATCAAGCTCTCCTTGCAGCGGAAGAGCTTGCCCCCCACATCGAACGCGACGACGCGCGTGGGCTTCGTGGCTGGGTCTCTCAAGTCCGAGACGCTCTTCGAGTGCCACGGCACGCGCGTGCGCCCCACCGTATGATCCGGGTCCACACTGCGCTGGCGCTCGTCGAAGTATGCGCCTTGACTGGAGGCTCTCAAGAGCACGGGCAGCCGCTCCACTGCATTGCTCAAGCTCAGACTCGAGCGGTCGGTGCTGCTGGTGGCGATTGAGTCTTTGGAGACCTCGGACCGCTGGGTCTCGACCGGGTCGTCGCTGCAGCCCAAGGAGATCGTCAGGTCGTCGTCCTTGTCACTCGCGGCGCTGCGCTCCGTGAACATTTCGTCCAGCAGCTCCTCCTCGACGGCGCGCACATTGGCGTCCTCGTTCTCGTCGCCGTCTCTTCCCATGGTTTCAACGCCTCTGCTGCTCTCTGCCTCGCGGGCGGAAGATGAGGAATGAGTGAGCGCGCAGAAGACGGCCCCGTCGGAGCGCAGCCTTGCCTTGTTGTTCTTCCTGCACCTTACTCGCCGCGCCGAAAGGTCGTAGTCTCCGATTGGCTCGAGCCATGTTGAAGCCAGGTGCAACTGGACGACAGCGAGTCCCCCGTGACGCACTGCAGCGCCAGCTGGGCTCCGCGCCGTCGGTGAATACAGCAGCGAAGTCTACCCACTGCGCAGATACAGCTGCACCAAACGACGATAGTGAGTGCGTCTGGACTACAATACAAGCAGCAGTGGCCATTTCGCTCGCCCGACCTCCACCTTAGCCGCCTCCAACTCTTATATGATGGACTCATTCATTATGCTGGCATGCTACAGTCAGTTTCGCTGGAGTAAAATGGCTTCGTGGTGCTTGGCCGCAGTCAAGCGAGGCCCTGAGGGTGTATTTTTCGAGACGGAGGAGGGTGCGCTCTCTCTGCTCGACGATGGACGGGTGCGTCACGGGATCAAAAGCCCGACGTTCGTACGTACAGTAAGGCTTCAGACTCGGACTTCACCACGGCCAGGCAAACGCAAAATGGCTGGTAACACGCCAATTTTCCCGACTGAGTTCTAGTTCGACCCCGCGCGAAACTCAAAACAATTTTCACACTGATGAGTTGGGAAACTGAAGGAAAGCCGCTGCAAACTGATCAAGCTCTCCAGCTTGCGAACTCGGCCTCGGTGCTAACGAGCCGCTGTTGACCGGCACCGGTGGGGCCAGCGCCAAACGCAGTCCAGTGCTAGTGTTCTGCTGCCTCGCCTGTGAGCCCGTCAGAAGATGCGAACTCGAGACACACTATGTCGCCGGCGGATCCATCACCAACTTGACTGCGTCGAGCTGCGAGCCACGAGCTGCTACATGCAGAAAGGCCCCGCTTGATTCTTGTGTAGCCCCAAGGCGAGCTTGTCTCGCTCCAGTGGCGCGTGGCGCCGGCTCCAAAAGCCCCGCTCCTTGGCCTTAGAATCCCTAATGCGTGTCCTTCGGACTTGCAGCAAACAAACAGTCTCTCGATATCGCGGGTTAGATTAAACAAATAGACTAACCCGACGAGACGACCTTCATTCGACCAATGCCAGCCCCATAAGAACCCGCGCGACGCCCCATTCATCCTGTGGGCGAAGACGAGTGCACTCTATGCTCTGGTTTCCTTCGTCAGCGACACCATGGAGCACTTTGATCTCGTTGAAGTTGTCCAGCCAATCAGCGCTGTTTTTCACTCGTGCAACATCACTATCAAACGACCTTCCCGTAACATTTCTTATGTGAGGAAGGCCAGGACAATCGTCGAAATGACCCACCGCGCCGCGCTGCTCCGCTCGGCGCTGTGCCTGACCACGGCCAAGCCGCGGCCGTCGCCCACGCTCTTCTGCTTCCCGGGGCTCGAGTCCGTGCCGTGGCACGACACCAGCAAGTTCGAGTGGGTCAAGCACCTCGAGGCCAACCGCGAGACCATCGCCAGCGAGTACCTGGCGCTCAAGCGGCAGCGCGAGGCGCTGGCCAAGACGGAGCAGACCGCCAGCGACTACAAGGTCTACGACAAGGAGCACCAGCTGCACCAGGGCCAGTGGGACTGGCTGTCGTACGTGACGCAGGGCCGGCGCCAAGCGGACTTCGCCGTGCAATGCCCCAAGACGGTGGAGATCCTCGAGAGCATCCCTGGCTTCATGGCGGGGCTGCCGTTCACCTACTCGTTCTTCTCCGTTCTCAAGCCAGAGGTGAGGGGGGGTCATTACTGTGTAGGCATGGCTGGGCTGTAGTTGTTGACATGGGTATTGTTGTGATAACTGTGCTGTAGTCGAGTATCAAGGCTCACTCGGCTCCGTGCAACATTCGCCTGCGTTGCCACTTCCCGTTGTTTGTGCCTGAAGGCTGCGGCATTCGGGTGGGTGACGAGACGCGGCAGTGGGAAGAGGGCAAGGCACTCGTGCTGGATGGTAAGGAACATGGGTTGGGGTGCAGGTTAGGTTGGCCGTGTAGCTGATGACTTGGTCGTACTCTGGCAGACGCGTTCGACCACGAGGTGTGGCACAATGGGAAGGAAGGAGACCGTGTGCTGCTGCTGTTTGACTTCTGGCATCCCGATCTGGTCCAGGGAGAGCGCGAAGCTATCACTGAAATGTTCAAGGAAGCCAAGGAGAAGGGCTGGCTCAAGGACTACGAGTAAATAGACTGACGCAGTGGCGACACGCGATAACGTTTAGCATTTCCGATGTTTGTCAAAGTAGCAATTCGTCGAACCCTCGCTTACCCGAGCTTTGCTTCCGTGTATCGGCAGGATACGCAGCTTTTTGCTTAGCGCTGATCTTCGCACACAGCTCGTGGATATCCTCTCTAGGCTCATCACTGTCGTTCTCCTCCACATCGGCATCGCTCTCACTGCCGCTACCAGACTCGGAGCCTGAGACTGAGCGTCTCCTTCGCTTCGCCTTTTGCTTTCCACCCGAGCCTTGTTCAATTCGCCTTCTGTTCCGGTCCCTCTTCTCCCTCCTCCGCTGCCGCCTCCTCCTCACCTCCATCAACTTCTTATAAAACAGCTTCTCGGCACAAGCTCTGCAGGTACGCACTTTGACTAAGCAGCGCTTGCGTTCGCCGTCCTCCACGTATGCGAACAGTAGCTCGTAGCTGTGCAGCCCCGCCCGCTCGTCGCAGCGCTTGTTCCCGCAGGAAAACTGCCCTTTGCCCGCCACGACCTCCATCTCCGTGCGCCACCGCAGCCCGATCTTGCCCTCCTTGTACCTGGACAGATCTGCCAGCGCGTACTCCCGGAAGAGCTGTCGGTAGTAGCGCGCGCTCATGCGGACCTGCCAGTCCGTCTCGCCCTGCTCGGCGTCGGCCTCGTCATCGCGGATAAACTGGAACTGCTGCTTCAGCACTGCCAGGTCGTTCTGCGATATTCCATGGTCTTTGCGGGCTGCGATGGAGCTCGCCTCGCTGCTGACGCTGTTGCTGCGGCGCGTGGAGGACGAGTAAACTCTCATGAGCTCTTGATGGCTGTAATATTCAGTAGTTGGGTTTCTCGTGAGTTACGGGGTCTTTGGGAGATATAAAGGTATGGATAGATAGAGGAGACACTGGATAACGTGGAGAGAGTATTAAAATGGGGATCGTACCGCTGCAGCATGCTCTTGGACGCACGAGAATCGGCGGCATGCCGAGGTGGTGGAGCCATTTGGACGCGAATATGGACTTGCTGAAGAGAATAACATCAACCGCACATGCTGGATGGTAGGTGCACGGACAGCACATCAAGGCATTGCAAGTGCACCAAGTGCAATCTATTATCGATAATGCGACGCGCGCTTCTCATCGGTAGCTCTACTCTCACATGTAGCTTCTGGACGTGGACATCTGTACCTACTTCGGCATCCTGAGGGAACTCTTCAGTTCAAAAACTACGTGCTACTCAAAGGTTCGTTATCGAAAATCGACAACTTGGCGCCGTTGACAAGCCTGATACTGCATCGCAAGCGTTTTGGGCGGCGAGAGCGCTTCCTACTGGAAAGCGCGCCACATCTCACTCAACTATTCAGGAAACAGAAGCGCTTGCAGCCCAGTTGCCGTCAGTGATAGACTTCGGGGCGGATATCAAAACCTTTGGCTACAACTTGTAGCCAACGCTTTTGTAGCCTGCAAGCATCGAAAAGCGAATAGCTTTCACGAAAACTGGACTCCGCAATTGCAAAAATGCAAACACTGAAAATTACCTCACAAAGTACAAGTATGAAGCCATTTTGATTATCAGGGTATCATACTACAAAGGGGAAAATACTTATCAATCGTACAGATAGAGCTATGTAGATATATCGGCGTATGGGGGTATTAGTTTATAACTTGGGAATAATCCATGTCGCGTGGCGAAACCCAGTCGTAGGACACAGATGGGTGCCGGCGCTGGCCATCCTCAGCTCCTGCTGCTGGCACTCTTGAATCCGCCGCACGTCTAGCATTAGTCGTCTACCGCAGACGCCGGGGCAAGCCACTCCGCCACCATGATGCCCAGCGGCGGACCCTCGTCCACAACGGTCTCCTCCCGGACGACGACGGCGCCTTCAACCACAGCGACAACAGGCACAACGACTGTAACGTCCTCCTCCTCTTCGTCGACCGCCTCGTCCGCTGCGTCGCTGCTGACGTCCTCCACATCCACGTCCGGCTCCTCCTCTTCGTCCTCCTCGTCCGATGGCACGGAGCTGTTGACCACGTGCCTGTCCACCATCGTCGCGTACGACTACGACTACGCGCTCTGCGTCATGAACTCAGGCTTCTTCGAGGTGGACTCCTCGCCCTTCGGGGCCGCCACGTCCACGGCCACGGCCATCGCCGCCGCGCTCGCCAGCGCCAGCGCCAGCGGCTCCACGACCGTGGACGAGTCCGGCTCGTGCAGCCTCATGTGCAGCAAGCCGGCCATGGCGGCGTCCAGCTCGTGCTGCTCGGCGGCCAGCACGGTGCTCAGCTGCCCGCAGTCGTCGTCCAGCATCGCGTACTGCAAGTCGGTGATCGAGGCCACGGTGGCCGACAGCCAGCAGTGCGGCCTCTCGGCGCAGAACACGGCGCTCATCGTGTGCGTCGCCGTCATCTTCGCCTTCTTCGCGGCCGTGATGGTCGCAACCAGGATACACGCCAGGAGACAGGGGGCTGCGGCTCTAGCAGAGGGCGACGCGGTCGAGTCCAGGTTCGCTGCGGCCGGCAGAGCCACGTGGACAGCGGCGCTCGCGGCCTGGAGACAGGTGACCAACCTCATCTGGAAGAACCTCGTCATCAGGCGGCGCAAGCCCGTGTCCTTCGTGTTCGAGCTGCTGCTGCCGCCCGTGCTGACGCTCGCGCTCGTGTTCATCGCCAACCTGGACACGATCTTCGGGACGGGGGACAACTACAGCAGCTCGTACGAGGCGGCCACGCTGTTGGGCACCATCTTGTGCACGGGGCTGGACTCGCTGGCGTACACGGACTACGGGGCGCTGAGCACCAACATGTCGACCTTCTACAGCAGCGGCCAGAGCGTGATCGGGCTCTTCCTGCTCATCAGCTACATCAAGTTCGTGTCCACGACCACGACGACCATGGTGATCGAGAAGGAGACGAGAATCCGCGAGGTCATGAAGATCATGGGGCTGTCCAACTTCACGCTGCTGAGCTCGTGGTGCCTGACCACGGCCATCTTGGCTACACCACTGGCGTTTGTGATCGCCGCAGAGCTCAAGTATGGCCAGGTCTTCCCCATGACGGAGTACGCGACGCTGGTGTTCCTGTTCTGGGCGCTGAGCCTGTCGATCGTGAGCTTCAGCTACTTCATCACGCCCTTCTTCAACAAGTCGCGCGCGGCGTCCATCGCCTCTGTGCTGCTGTGGTTGGTACTGTTCTTCCCATTCTTCTCTGTCATGTCCAAGTCTAACTCGTCCAAGTATCTAGGAGCGCTCGCTCCTCCGACGGCGTTTGCACTGGGTATCGACGACTTGGTGCGACGCGCGCAGCTCGGAAGAGGCTTGGCGTATGCCATGGGCCTCATTGAGTCGCCTATTACGGTCCCCTCGGCGTTTGCGATGAGCTGGTTCTTGATCCTCGACTCGTTCATTCTGGTCGCTCTCGGCTGGTATTTTGACAACGTTTTACCGCAAGAATTTGGCGTGCGGAAGCCGTGGAATTTCCTGTTCGTGAAGGAGTATTGGATGCCTTCAAGCGCGGCCAATAGCGACAAGGAAGTGATGGTGCTGGAGTCTCCTAGTACGGCCTCATCGCCTCAGACCAACTATTCGTTTGGGTCACCACGCGGCATGCGGCTCCTGCACCAGGCCTCTTCGGATGGATCGGTCGTCATGATGAAGGACCGGCCTGGACTCGTGGCGTCCGTGGAGCCTGTTAATGCTACGCTTGCAGCTCAGGAACAAAAGGGAACGTGCCTCCAGATCCGCGGTCTTCGCAAGGAGTTCCCGTCAGACGACGCGAAGAAGGTCGTGGTTCAAGGCTTGAACCTTACGCTTTACGCTGGACAGATCTCCGCGCTGTTGGGCCACAATGGTGCAGGAAAGACGACCACAATTTCAATGCTGACGGGGCTGATCCCGCCCACGTCGGGTGATGCGGCGCTCTACGGCCGCTCTGTCCGAGAAGACTTCAACGAGCTTCGCCAGATCATGGGCATTTGCCCCCAGCACGACGTTCTCTTCAACGAGTTGACCGTGGAAGAGCATTTGCTGATGTTTGGAACGATGAAGCACATTCCGGATTGCACTCTGAAGGAAGAAGTGGAGCGAATGATTAAGGAAGTGGGCCTGGTGGAGAAGAGGAAGGTCGCCGCTAGGAACCTCTCTGGCGGTCAGAAGCGGAAGCTTAGCGTTGCGTTGGCGTTCATGGGAGACAGCAAGCTGGTCTTCCTGGACGAACCCACGTCCGGAATGGACCCTTACTCTCGTCGTTTCACGTGGAACTTGCTGCAGCGGAACCGCGACGACCGTGTCATCGTTCTGACGACGCACTTTATGGACGAGGCCGACATTCTGGGTGACCGGATCGCCATCATGGCAGATGGCCAGCTCTGTTGTGCTGGAAGCTCGCTCTTCTTGAAAAACCGCTATGGCGCCGGGTACAGCTTGACCATGATAAAGGCGCCTGAATGTGATGTCGAAGCTGTCGGTGCGTTCTTGCGCAACTTCGTTCCTGAAGCGAAGTGCTTGAGCAACTTTGGTTCGGAGGTCGTGTTCCAGCTCCCATCCAAGTCGTCGGGAGTATTCTCGACGATGCTTCAGGTGCTTGATGATGAAATGCGTCGCTTGCGCGTCGTCCAGTATGGTGTGTCCGTGACGACATTGGAGGAAGTATTCTTGCGCATTTCACATGACCGCGAAGAAGAGGCTGAAATGGGAGTCGCTGCCTGTGGAGTGGAGGCGGTGGACCAAATCCGTAAGACGTCGGCTACTTCGGCGAATTCCCGGGGCACCTTCACGGGCGCTATCGCAGCTGAAGCGACAAACCGTGCAACGTTATGGAGCCAGTACACCGCGCTTCTGACAAAGCGTGTGAGGATCGCAAAGAGAGACAAGAAGAACCTCCTGAACGCTGTCTGTATCCCGCTGCTCTTCTTGATTATCCTGGTTTCGCTCCCTGAGATCGACGTGGCCAGTTTCATGACGACGAATGACTACGCTACGGAACTGGCTTCGTCGTCCCGACAGGGCAGGTGCTCAAGTGCCAACTTCTCGCTGGTCTCCGTTCCGAGTGCGTGCGACAGCTACACTTTCAACTACTGCGACCTCGGCGTGATCGATTGCAGCGCCTCGACTTGTTGTGACAAGACTAACGTTGAATCTCCTTACTACGCGTGCAACATGTGCGACGGCACCTCATCGTCCAACCCAGTGACTCCGTGCTACAACAAGTACTGCCTTGACCAGGATGGCGCGAAGCTTCAGGCCACGCTGAACGCCTTCTTGACGTCGGTTGTGGTGATGCTGGCGTTTGCCTTTGTTCCAGCTGCCATTGTGGCATTCGTGGTCCGAGAGAAGAATCCCATCCAGAACGCCAAGGGTTTGCAACTGATCTGCGGTGCCAACGTGTCAGCTTACTGGCTGTCCACGTGGACGCATGATATCGTCCTCATGATGGTCACAGTTATCGCTGCCATGGTCATGGTGCCGTTATCGGATCGTACGCTGACAAGTTCCATGGAGGTGTGGGGAGTTGTCTGCCTGGTCGGCTCGCACGCGTTGGCAGTGATCCCGATGGCGTACTTGTTCAGCTTTAAGTTCAAGAAGCACGCGGTGGCGCAGACGTCGTTGCTCGTGTTTGCGCTGTGTACCGGCGGTTTGCTGAGCATCTTCTCGTTCCTGTGTCGACTCATCGACTTCGACTTGACTCCGGGCAATTCCTCCGACAACTTGACGCTGTCCTCGCTCGACCGGAACTACCTTCGTTGGATCTTCCTGCTCTTCCCCGGCTACAGCCTGAACAATGGTATTTATGAGATTGCTACGCGGAAGTTGAGCCGTAGCTCGCTGTACGGTAGCAGCACTGAGACGGTTGCGCCGCCCTCGTTCTTCGGTGCCTGGGCTGGACTTGGTACGGATTACACGTGCACCTCATGCTGGGATGCTGCGAGTGGCGAGAACTGCTGCGTGCGCAACGTGTTCGATCTCGATGTCGCTGGAGCTCCTGTCGCCTACGCAGTGGTGGAGATCGTGGTCTTCATGCTGCTGGTCTTCGTAGTGGAGAACCGCAGTTTGTCCTGGCGCCCAGAGCAACGCCAGCAGTGGCCGCGCAACGAGGACGACGACGTGGCGAAAGAGCGCCAAAAAGTGGAGCGCTCGTACCCCACCGACAACGACAGCGTGTTTATCCGCAACCTGCGCCAGCAATACGGAAATGGAGGCAAGGTTGCATTGGACGACTTGTGCCTTTCCATTCAGAAGGGAGAATGTTTTGGCTACCTGGGTATCAATGGAGCCGGCAAGTCGACGACGATGAAAGTCTTAACCGGCGAGATTGCTCCGACCAACGGGTTCGTGACGCTGGGAGGCTACGACTTGTCTCGTGATCGTGATAAAGCACGTCGCGTGGTTGGCTACTGCCCGCAGTTCGATTCGTTGCACGACCTGCTGACTGTGGAAGAGCAACTGGAGCTGTATGCGCGGCTGAAGGGAATCCCGAGCGATCGTGTCAAGAAGGCGGTGGACCAGAAGATCGAGGAAGTGGGGCTCACTGAGTACCCCACTAAACTGACACGTGGGCTGAGTGGAGGTAACAAGCGTAAACTCTCGACCGCGATCGCGTTGATCGGCTCTCCCAGCATCATCTTCCTGGATGAACCCTCGACCGGAGTGGACCCGAGCTCGCGAAGGAAAATGTGGGATGTGATCGCCAGTGTCTGCGCCGCAAAGGAATCGTGCGTGGTCCTTACGACTCACTCAATGGAGGAATGCGAGGCGCTGTGCACGCGTGTGGGGATCTTGGTGAGCGGAAAGCTGAAATGCCTCGGCAGTGTGGAGCACCTGAAGCAGAAGTTCGGCCGAGGCTACATTGTGGAGGTGAAACTGCGGGAGCCGAGCCCGTCCTCGATTGGAAGACTGCAGCTCGAGGTGTATCGTATCCTGGGCGGCAACAAAGCAGGCGTATCAGCGGTCGACGTCACTAGCCTGTGTTCATCTCTCGGAGCGCCCAACCGCGCGCATGCGATCCTGAACGGCGTGGGCAACGGCAGCGTGCTTAACAGCTACCTTGAGACCTCAGGTTTAGTCCCCATGGACGTCTTCTGTGCGTGGTGGCTCACGGAGAACATGGGATCAGCGTTGCAAGAGTTCTTCCAGGTCAAGTTCCCAGGCAGCCAGCTCATCGAGCACCAGGGCGGCCATTTCCGCTTCCAAGTTCCCAAGCGCGCACTTCGGCCGTACGCCATCTTCGGGCTGCTCGAGGAGAACAAGGAGCAGCTGCTCATCAGCGAGTACGGCGTGAGCGAGACTTCGCTCGAGCACATTTTCAACACGATGGCCGCCCAGCAAGGAGAAGAGCAGCTGCAAGGCAGCGCTAGATACCGCGGAGACTGGTAAAAGACTCCAGTACAATACAAACTAATAATGAATGGAGTAAACAAACAAAACTTTGCCATCTCAATTGGACTCAGTACCCGAACTTGTCGTTGAGCTTTGTACGGCCATCGCCTGTTTGGTTTGCCGGCGGCACCCACACCTGATCGCCTCCTTCCAACACACTCGCATCGTCGGCACTTGTAGTACTAGGCTTCGTCTCTCTCGGAGGACCCATTGCTGGACCAGCGATTCGTCGTCGCTTTGGCGCTGATGACTCGATCGGAGCTTGGTCGGAGGTCTTTTGGGCTGCGGCTGCAGGTGCAGAGCGTGCTTTCTGCTTGTGTGCTCTCTCTTGTGAAGATGTCTTCCGCTCAGGCACCGATTCCTGCTTCTCGATCACTGCAGCTTCAGCAACAACAGGCTCAGGCACCTTCAGTTTGTCGGATGTAGACGCAGTGGGAACTTGTTTGGATGGCGAGGAAGGGGTCGCAGCAGGTTCTGGCGCCGACTTGGCCATCGCCGCCGGCTTCTGAACAGGCAAAGCAGCTAGCGCTGGGGTTGCGACGACAAGCAATTGGCGCTGACGCTTGAGCTCCGCCTCCACCTCTGCCTTAAGCTTCGTGAGCGTGTCAACCTCGCTCGCATGCAGCTGCGTGGTTGTTGCGACCATGAAAAAGTCCAACGAATCCGCTTCCTCTTCCTCCACTTTGCTCTCGCCACCTACAGCTTGGTTCGCAGCGGCCTTTGCGGACGCAGCAGTCAATTCGGACTGAAGTTTCGCCAGTTCGGCTTCAAGCTTCTTGACATTGGCCTGAATTGAGTCGGCGGTCAGCACCTCGCTCTTCTGAACCCGCGCTGCTGGCGTCACTGCCACCGCCTCGGAAGCTACCGACGATGAACCTGTAACCCTCTGCTTCCGCGCGGCAATCTTCTGCTGATTAGCCTTAGTCCGGTCGTAGAAATCGTCTTCGTCACTGCTGTAGCCGTAAAGTTCCTCGTTGATATTGCGCTTCTTCCTCGCAGTAGTAGATGTCCCGCCCGTCTTGGACCGTTGGTCGTTCTTGGCGTGAATTCTGCCTTCCAGGTCGTCGATCTCCTTCATCAGCGCATCAATGCGCTGCTCGTTCCGATCCAGCGTGCGCTGCTGGCCTTCCGACAGCCCGTCGAGCTGGTTCTGCTTGGCCAGAATCCTCGAGCGCTCCAGCTTCAGGTTCTCCATCTTGCGGATCCGCGTCTGCAGCTGCTGGTACAGGCGCTGGTCCTTCTCGTTCACCTGCGACTGACTCACACTCGACTTGTAGGGCTGGTCCTCCTCCTCCTTCAACTGAGAACCACACCACATAGTTAGTATACCACCACCTCCATTCTCCCCCGTTCTACCTCCTTACATTGCGGAGGTAGTCCGGCAGCTCCTCTTTGCCCTTGGCCGCGTCCTCTTCGTCGCTCTCGTCGTCCCCCTCCTCCTCCTGTGCGTCTTCTCCGAACCCCCAGGACGCGCCTCGGTCCTCCTGCTTCTTCTTCTCCAGAATCTGCCGCTTCCTGTCCAGCTTCTCCCTGAACTTGGCCAGATTTAGCGACTCGTACTCGGCCGGCAGCAGCTCCGGGGGTCCGCACACCGCGTACAGCCTCGTGGACTCGCCAAACACCAGCACGTCCCCAATGTGCAGCCGCACGAACTGCTCGGCCACCACGCGCTTCTTGTTCACGAAGCATCCGTGCGTGCTACGCGCGTCGAAGAGGAAGAGGGCGCCCTTGTCGTCGAACTGCAGCGCCGCGTGCACCCGCGAGATGGACGGATGCGCCAGGGGCAGGTCGCACACGGTCTTCATGCGCCCGGCCACGACGTAGCTCCGCCCATCGGTGCGCGGCAGTGGCAGCGTGTCCACCACCACACCGCCCTTGATCACCTCCAGGTAGATGCCGAACTCGTTGCGGCCCGAGGCGCTCCACTCCGGCGGAGTGTACTGCGCCATTGCTGTCGACAGAGATGGCTGCACTTCCAGCACTTGCGGAGTAATTGATTACATGCACTTGCAGAGCACTCTCTCTTCATTTGAAGAGCAGCTTTCAGAAGAAGCCCGTCGCTGTACCCAATGCGCTGCAAGAGCAAGAGCTCCGATGCTCTTCTGCTCTGCATCCGTGGCAGAACAGCATAGCGGCGCGTTTTGCCTGCCAATCTGCCGACATGTCGGCTTCGCGAGCGAGACACCACCTGACCATCGCCGACAAGAACCGGCTGCGGCGCCACCACCGCGAGCACCCGGAGCTGACGCAGGAGCAGCTGCGCGAGTGGGCGTATGCGGCGTTCGGGCAGTGGGTGGCGCGCTCCACCGTGGGCCACATCGTGCGCGCGCCCGAGGAGGTGTGCGCCAACCCGGAGGCCACGCGCTTCCAGAGCGGCCGCTACCCGGACATGGAGCAGGAGCTGTACGCGCTGATCGCGGCGCGCGGCGCGCAGCTGGGCGTGGACATCAAGCGGCTGGACGCGCCCGTGCTGAGCGACTCGGAGCTCTGGGCCAAGGCCAACGAGATCCTCAAGCGCACGCGCGGCAGCCACGAGGGCGTGTCGGTGGCCTGGGTGCACCGCTTCAAGAAGAGGCACGGGCTGCACCGCTCGCAGTTGAAGAGGGCGGCCGGCAGTGCCGGTATTGCTCCAAATACTGAAACTACCGTCACAATAAATACTCGTGTAAGTTCTGCCGGTGTAGCGCCGACAGTGCCGGCGGTGCCGGTGGGAATGGAGACGCCCGAGCTGACAGTGGCAGAGCAGACGCTGGAGGCGGTGCACCCGTCGGCAGGAGACAAGCGGAGTGCGGCCGACGCTGCAGTCGGAGTGGAGCTGGACGGGCTGGGGCCGACGACGGAGCCGCCAAACAAGCGGCCAGCTACTGCTACCACAGCTACTGCTGCTGCTGCTGCCACTGCTGCCTCTGCAGAGTCCGTTGCCGCCGCTGCTGCCGGTAACCGGTCACACTTTGTGTCGTCGGAGGATATCCTGCTGCTGACGCGGGTGCTGGCCGTCAAGCCGTGGACGTTCCCGTACGCGATGGACGGGTGGCAGCAGGTGGTGGAGAAGCTGCGCGGGGACGGCAACTTCCGGCTGGAGAAGACGGCGGGCGCGTGCCAGGCCAGAGTGAACCTGCTGCTGGGCCACATGAAGGCGGGCAACACGGCGGCGCTGCGCAAGTCGGGCACGGAGGACGAGTTCGACCGCAAGTGCGCGTTGCTCAGCGAGGTGTCGTCTCAGATGGAGTCGCATGGAGGAGGAGGGGTGCAAACAGCTGAGAACGCTTCGTCGGTCTCAGCGGTGGCAGCAGCACCCGTGGCGGTACAGGACGCGGTCAGCAGTGTCGAGATCCCCAACCTGGCTCAGGAGCGCGAGCGAATGGCTCAACGCCGGCTGGAGCTGATGGAGCGCAAGTTAGAGCGGGAACTGGCCGCCCAGAAGCGCCACTCGGAGGAGCAGGTTAGTCGACTGGAGAAACTTCATCACGAACAGCAAAAGATCCAGCAGGAGCAGCACGCGCAGCTTCTTGCTACGATCCAGCAGCAGCAGGCGATGATTTTCGAGCTGATCAAGTCGTTAGCTCCAGCGTCCAATACCGTCTGAAGCTAGCAAGCTTGGCTTGCAGTAGTTTTGCGTGTGATTGCGGCGTGTCCTCTGAGGCACACTTGCGTCGCATTTGCATTGGAAGGCAAAACCAGTGGATCATATTTCAATGTCAAAAGTTATTTGCTGTTTGAATTTGGTATCCTTGCTTCATCACTGCATTTGTCTTCAGCCCTCCAGCTCAACGAGCAGATTCACCCCACGCTCATCACGGCCTTACACAACCAGTGCTTGGGCCACACTCTTCGCCTTCTCCTCGCTACAGAGCAGCTCAACAAGTTTCAGGCCCATTTCGATAGCAGTTCCAGGGCCTTGGCTGGTCACGCACTTGCCGTTCACTACCACGCGCTCTTCGGTGCGTAAGTCCACGCCGGTCATCTTGGACTCGTAACTGGGGTAGGTCGTGGCGGGGCCGTCGTCGAGCAATTCGTGGGGGAGGAGCACAACCGCGGGTGCCGCGCAAATGCCGCCATAGTATCGACCTTGGTTCTTCTGCTTCTGAAGCATCGTTATGAGCTCTGGCGAGTCGTGCAGGTGCTGCGCGCCAGGTCCCTGGATAATAACGTTCAAAGATAACAGTAGTGTCGGTAGCCCCAGCACTTCGGGACGACAGCACTCCTGCACTTACTCCTGGGCACATGATAAGGTCAAAGCTGAGGTCAACGCAGGCCTCGATGGCGATATCGCCTTGCACTTTCGTGCCTTGCGACATAGTCACAATGTTCTGCAGCTTGCGCCCGACGCTAGCGAGCGTCACCTTCATCCCGCCGCGTGTGAGCACATCTGCCACTGCGATAGCTTCGATCTCCTCCGTTCCGTCGGCCTGCAAAGCGATAAAGTAGCAAATTAATGAAAACTATCAACTCATGTGTAGCGAGCACAGCCCGCACAATGAATGCGTACAATGGGAATCATCACCGCGCGGGGCTCGCCGTCGACCGTCGACATCGTGGCAATTGATCTGAAGGCGGCGGAATCGACACTGAGAAAGCCACAAAGGATGCGATCCGTCTTCAAACGCAGCATTGTAAATGGGCTTCTGTTGGAGCGACACGTCCACAGAAAAGAACAAAACGCAGGTCTCATACTGCTAGCTTCAAGCTGTAATACCAACTTTGCTACGGACACGCAGGCGATTGGCTTGATACGTTGAAGTTGTATACCTCTCATCGATCATACAATTCTCTTAGATAGGTGCTATTTTATTGGCCCCAACCGTTGCCATCACTTTGACTGGCAACAAGCAGCAGGTATCACCAAGCGGACGATGGCGGCGAACACGGCGGAGCAGCTCGCCAAGAAGAAGGAGGAGGGCGCCTCCGAGTACCAGAAGCAGAAGAAGGTCGTGGGCGACCTGCTCTCCAGCGCCGAAAGTGCGTACTTCTCGTCTAATTCTCGGCTAAATCGCTTCTGTATCAACTCTAACTCTCTCTAATGACTAGATGGCGACCTGGAGCAGCTGGAGAAGACGCTCGAGTCCCTGCAGGTCATGGGCGTCACGGACGTGAAGGAGGCGCTGACGGACTTCAAGGACGCGCACAAGCGCACGGCGCTGCACTTCGCCGCGGCCAAGGGACGCCGCAAAGTCATCAGCTTCATCCTTGACCGCGCCCCGGAGTGCGTGGAGTGCGTGGACGAGGAGGGCGCCACGCCGCTGCTGTACGCGACCAAGGAGAACGAGTTCGCGGCCGTGAAGCTGCTGCTCGCGTACTTCGCGGACCCTAACACGGCCATGAACAACGGCACGACTGCGCTGCACGAGGCCGCGGCCAACGGCAGCATCCGAACGGTGAAGCTGCTGGTGGAGATGAAGGCGCAGCTGGAGGCCACTACGAAGAACGGCACAGCGCTGCACTTCGCCGTGAGCGAGGACCGCGAGAAGACGGTGGCGGAGCTGCTGCGTCTTGGCGCCAAGGCTGACGTGACCAACGCCGGAGGAGTGACTCCGCTCATGCTGGCGTGTCTGATGAACAAGCCCGTGGTGGTCAAGGAGCTGCTGGAAGGCGGCGCGACGCTGTCGCTCACCATGGAGGGTGGGCTCACGGCGCTGCACATGGCGGCTGAGACCGGCTTCACCGAGGTGGTGCAGGAGTTCCTAAACTGCCGTCTGGAGGACACGAAGGAGGTGGCCAACTTGGCTTCGGATGCTGGTGCCACCCCTCTGCAGCTCGCTGCTGGCATGGGCCACCACGAGATCGTCACGCTGCTGAAGCCTTTCACCAAGGGCTTTGAGGACGCGGACCTGAACAAGCTGATGGCTGAGGAGAAGGTGAAGCTGGACGCTTACTACGAGGAGGCTGCCAAGAACAAGGCCCCGGCTGCCCCAGCTGGAGCGAACGAGCCCCAGACGGTGGAGGAGAAGCTGGAGGCCGAGAACCAGAAGAAGTTGGCTGAGATTGAGAAGGAGGAGGACATCGCTGTGCCTGAGGCCGTCGAGGTGAGCGAGGAGAAAAAGACGGAGGCCACCAACCTCAAGAACGAGGGCAACAAGGCGTACCTGGTGAAGGACTACGCGCTGGCTGTGGATCTGTACACGAAGGCGATTGAGATCATGCCTGCCGACGCGGTGCTGTACAGCAACCGCTGCGCGGCCCACCTGGGTGCGGGCGACGCCAAGCAGGCCCTGCACGACGTGCGTGTCTCCAAGAAGCTGCGTCCGGACTGGCCGAAGGCTCTGTTCCGCGAGGGCCAGTGCCTGGAGGCGCTTGGACTGTACGAAGAGGCCGCTTGCGCTATGTGGTCTGCCATGCAGCTTGCTCCTGATGACAAGCTCCTCAAGCGCCGATTCCAGGAGTGCGTCAAGCGTGGTCGCTCGGACCACCAGGCCAAGTTGAAGTCGGCCGACTCGACTAAGTAGAGGTGTCATGCACTAATATATGCACAGCATCATTCATTTCGGAGCTCTTCTAGGAACATAACAAGAGGAGCAGCAAGCCACTCTTTACAGCGACTGCGACTGCCTGCTCGTTGGAGCAGGGGCTGGAGCTAACGACTTGATCAGCTCGAACATCATCGCCTGCTGCTGCTGGATCGTAGCAAGAAGCTGCGTGTGCTGCTCCTGCTGGATCTTTTGCTGTTCGTGATGAAGTTTCTCCAGTCGACTAACCTGCTCCTCCGAGTGGCGCTTCTGGGCGGCCAGTTCCCGCTCTAACTTGCGCTCCATCAGCTCCAGCCGGCGTTGAGCCATTCGCTCGCGCTCCTGAGCCAGGTTGGGGATCTCGACACTGCTGACCGCGTCCTGTACCGCCACGGGTGCTGCTGCCACCGCTGAGACCGACGAAGCGTTCTCAGCTGTTTGCACCCCTCCTCCTCCATGCGACTCCATCTGAGACGACACCTCGCTGAGCAACGCGCACTTGCGGTCGAACTCGTCCTCCGTGCCCGACTTGCGCAGCGCCGCCGTGTTGCCCGCCTTCATGTGGCCCAGCAGCAGGTTCACTCTGGCCTGGCACGCGCCCGCCGTCTTCTCCAGCCGGAAGTTGCCGTCCCCGCGCAGCTTCTCCACCACCTGCTGCCACCCGTCCATCGCGTACGGGAACGTCCACGGCTTGACGGCCAGCACCCGCGTCAGCAGCAGGATATCCTCCGACGACACAAAGTGTGACCGGTTACCGGCAGCAGCGGCGGCAACGGACTCTGCAGAGGCAGCAGTGGCAGCAGCAGCAGCAGTAGCTGTGGTAGCAGTAGCTGGCCGCTTGTTTGGCGGCTCCGTCGTCGGCCCCAGCCCGTCCAGCTCCACTCCGACTGCAGCGTCGGCCGCACTCCGCTTGTCTCCTGCCGACGGGTGCACCGCCTCCAGCGTCTGCTCTGCCACTGTCAGCTCGGGCGTCTCCATTCCCACCGGCACCGCCGGCACTGTCGGCGCTACACCGGCAGAACTTACACGAGTATTTATTGTGACGGTAGTTTCAGTATTTGGAGCAATACCGGCACTGCCGGCCGCCCTCTTCAACTGCGAGCGGTGCAGCCCGTGCCTCTTCTTGAAGCGGTGCACCCAGGCCACCGACACGCCCTCGTGGCTGCCGCGCGTGCGCTTGAGGATCTCGTTGGCCTTGGCCCAGAGCTCCGAGTCGCTCAGCACGGGCGCGTCCAGCCGCTTGATGTCCACGCCCAGCTGCGCGCCGCGCGCCGCGATCAGCGCGTACAGCTCCTGCTCCATGTCCGGGTAGCGGCCGCTCTGGAAGCGCGTGGCCTCCGGGTTGGCGCACACCTCCTCGGGCGCGCGCACGATGTGGCCCACGGTGGAGCGCGCCACCCACTGCCCGAACGCCGCATACGCCCACTCGCGCAGCTGCTCCTGCGTCAGCTCCGGGTGCTCGCGGTGGTGGCGCCGCAGCCGGTTCTTGTCGGCGATGGTCAGGTGGTGTCTCGCTCGCGAAGCCGACATGCCGGCAGATTGGCAGGCAAAACGCGCCGCTATGCTGTTCTGCCACGGATGCAGAGCAGAAGAGCATCGGAGCTCTTGCTCTTGCAGCGCATTGGGTACAGCGACGGGGCTTCTTCTGAAAGCTGCTCTTCAAATGAAGAGAGAGTGCTCTGCAAGTGCATGTAATCAATTGCTCCCCAACTGCTGTGACGGCAGCCATCTCTGTAGACGACCAAACCAAGCTCGGACGTATGTGGCGCCGGGAGCTGCGCTGGATGCGGCACGTGGTGCGCGCGCAGGACCAAGATCAGCGTCTGGACCGCTGGCTGCGGCGCCAGTTTCCGTCGCTGCCGCAGAGCTTTCTGCAGACGCAGCTGCGCAAGCGCAAGATCCGGCTGCAGCCTCCGCCGGGCGTGACTGATCCAGCGCCAACTCGAGCCAACTCGTTGCTGTTCGAGGGCTCCGTGGTGGCTATCGATGCGTATCTCTTTCAGTCCAAGTTACAGACAATTGCAGAGCAACAAAAGCGAATCAATGGGCAACATTTCTCTCCACCGACGGCGAGGGACCGGAAAAAGCTGCAGCACTTGATGCAGCGCATCGTGTTCCGCGACGAACAGTTCGTGGTGCTCAACAAACCTCACGGACTTGCAGTGCAGGTGGGCGGCATTAGAGATATTCGTTGTGAATTGGTACTGATTGTGTGGCTGCTCTACGATCCATTGTTGCAGGATGGCTCGGCATTGACGGAGTCGCTGGCACGGTACTTGCCGTGGATAGCTGAGAGGTTGGAAGGAGGATGCACTCATAAGCAAACCGACGAGCAGGAACTGAGGCTGGTTCACCGACTGGATAAGGAAACGTCTGGCGTGCTGGTGCTGGCGCGCTCCCGACTGGCAGCAGCCAAGTTCTCAGAGATGCTGCGGAGTGGGGACGTGCACAAGACGTACGAAGCGCTGGTGTCGTCGTCCACTGCAGTAAATCCACGAGACAATTTTTCAACTTTGAAGACGTTCGAGGGGCGAGAAGTCAATCTGCCGGTCGACGGCAAGGCGGCTTGTACATTAGTGGAACGGGTGCTGCGGCAAAACGAGCGTGGTGAGCCCTTGGGCACGTGGTTGCAGCTTCAGCCGCGTACAGGGCGGAAACACCAGCTCCGGCTGCATTGTGCTCAGGAGCTCGGTGCACCGATCGTTGGAGATGACAAATACGGCGGACGCCCAGCCGACCGACTTTACCTGCACGCGAAGCGCATTCGGTTGCCGAATCCGTTCACACCCGGAGTTTGGATCGATGTATCAGCTGATCGTGCTGGTAGCTTGGCAGAGTGATACACCAAGCAGTTTTGCAGAATTTTGCTGACTGATAGTACACCATATGTAGGTAATACACCGATAAATTCTAATCCTTGCTCTTGGACTGAGCAGCGACCGATTTAATGAGATCCAGCATCATGGCCTGCTGCTGCTGGATGGTTGCCAAAAGTTGAGCGTGCTGATTCTGCTGAGCTTCTAGCTGTGCTCGTTGCAGCCTCTCAAGCTCCCGAACTTGCTCGTCGGCATGTCGCCGCTGCTCTGCGAGCTCTCGCTCCATCCTGATCTCCAGTAACTCAAGTCGGCGCTGCCCATCCAGGTCTGCCTCGCCTGTTGCCTCCGCTACGGCGATAGCCGCGGCAACCTCACCCACTTTAGCCACAGCAGCATCGTGCTGCGTGACACTGGGCGGCGGAGACGGCTCGCCTCTCCGCTTGCGCAGGTCCTCTTGAAACTCCTCGAACGCCGTCAGCTTGGCCTGCACATCCGTTAGTAGCTCGCGCTTGCGCTCGTACTCCTCCGACGTCCCAGACTTCCGCAGCGCAGCAATGTTCCCCGCTTTCAAGTGGTCCAGCAGCAGCGCCACACGAGCCTGACAAGCTCCCGCCGTCTTGTCCAGATGAAACTCGCTGTGTCCACGGAGTCGGTCGCACACCTCCTGCCAGCCGTCCATCACGTGCGGATACGCCCACGGCTTCGTCTCGAGTACCTGCGTGAGCAGAAGAATGTCGTCCGCCGACACAAACTGCTTCCTGGTACCAGCTCTATGGGTCGCCGTGCTCTTCTTCGACGGCGGAGGGATCAACGACAACTCGTCCTCCGTGTCCTCATCATTCACCGCCTCCTCTCTAGAACGTTTCCCACCCACAGCAGCAATCTCCACCTCATCGTCACCTTGTCCAACAATCCCCACAGCCTCATCTGCCTCCACAACTGTAGGTGTCACAATGACCGCGGGCTCTAACCCGAGCTCCGTCACCACTGCTCTCGAAGTCTCCTCTGTACTATCGCCCGCCTGCACGCGCCTCTGCGAGCGGTGCAGCCCGTGGCGCTTTTTGAACCTCTGTACCCACCCTAGCGACACGGACTGACCCGGTCCGCGCGTGCGCTTGAGGATGTCGTTGGCCTTGGTCCAGAGCAGACCCTCGCTCAGCAGCGGCGCGTCGTCGCGCAGCGGCTGCTCGTCGCTCTGCCTGGCCAGCACGTACTCGTACAGCTCCTGCTCCATCTCCGGATAGCGGCCGCTCTGCACGCGCTTGGCGCTCGGGTTGGCGCACACCTCCTCGGGCATGCTGGCGATCTTGCCGATGGTGGAGCGGCCGATCCACTTGCCGAACTGCACGTGCGCCCACTCGCGCAGCTGCTCCTGCGTCAGCTCCGGCCGCGCGCGGTGGAAGGCGCGCAGCTGGTTCTTCTCCTGGATGGTCAAGTGGTGGCGCGCCACGGCCATCGTCACTTCAAGGCTCTTGGGCTCTTACGCTCTTGCAGGAAGTGGACGGATGGGAAGCAGCAGAAAAATGCTCTGGAAGTCGCCGGGAGCTTGTGCTCGCCAACTGTCTCTTTTTGACCCTTAAGTTCGGGGTTGGACGCTAAGTACGGCTGTAGCCATTTGATGCGAATGGCCGCATCGGACACCTTCCCGGTGGAATGCGAGCGCTTCGAGCGTGCCTACCAGCGTCGCAAGAGGCGATTCCTCGCTCTGCAGCAGCGTCAAGACGTGTCTACCGATCGTCTCTTTATCATCAGCGACCAGCGGCCTTGGCAAGTATTTCAAAATGGCTACATTTCCGACAAACTTCAACGTCGGAAGTTGGTCTTCGAGCGCCGCCAAACCTTCCCAAGCCTGCACGAAGCGTGCGTTAGCGGTGATCGAGAAAAACTTCGAGGTCTTTTGAATTTTCCTGGAGTTTGTGTATTGGAACGGGATACAACTGGCAGAATTGCGTTGCACCACGCAGTCATAACCGACCACGTGAAGATTGCCAAGAAGCTACTGCGACGGCGAGATGCCAAGTTGCAAGTTCACGTTCGGGACAATTCAGGCCGCACTGCTCTCCACTATGCACTGGAGAAAATGGAGTTGTTGGCGTTGCATCGACGAGGAGAGTTGAGAGTTCCAGCGTTGGTGACTGTGGAGATGAGAGCGGAGAGCAAGCGGTACCGACGACTGTGGGAGCTGGCGGACCGAATGCTGGAGATGTTTAGTCGCAGAGTGTTGGAGGGAGATCGGTCACTTGGTTGGGGGGATAACGAGAGTCTTAAGACGTTGGATATGCGCTGCCGAGGTGACGCGTGGGACGCCTGTCGATCTGGAGACGTGGAGCGGCTGGAAATGATCGTTACAGTCTACGGCTGCTCGACGGAAGAATGGGAACTGAGTGAGTTGAAGCGAACGATGCTGCACGAGGCGTGTGAGAATCAGCAATTGCAGGTTGTGAATTTTTTACTGTCCACAATGAACATGCCCGTGCTAGCTCAGGATGCTTCGGGATGTACGGCGCTGCATTGTGCAGCACGACGAGGCTTCCTTGATGTCTGCCGGTTGCTTCTTGGGAAATCACAGAGTGATTGCGTTGAGCAGAGCGTTGAGTCGAATGATTCTGCGGAGCAACTCGCGCTTATTCAAGATGTTCGAGGAAGAACCGCGTTGCATTGGTGTCTACTTGGCTCCGGTGATTTACTGGCTCGAGTGGAAATTGGTGTGCTCTTATCGGGAACATGTCCGGCCGCATTACACATTCATGACAGTGACGGTGTATCTCCACTACATCTCGCTGTCTGGCGGGGAAATTTCGAGTTGATTCAGCAATTTATAAGCCTTGGGGCTATTGTATATGGGACTTCTCCTAGCAGTTATCCACCGCGCCGCGAAGAGTATCCCGAGAAAGCAGCATGGGCTCCGTGTGGTATTGTCTTTCAGCGACAGCGAGTACGAAGTTCGCAGAAAGTTATGCCGATTTCTGCGTCTGCTGATGGCAGTAGCGCACTCTGCAAAAAGGATGCGCCTGACTGGGATAGCGTTCAACACCCAGTTGAAACATTGTGGTATTGGACACGACAACGGCGAGCCTCAATATCTGAGGAGAAAACGATTGTATTGAAAACAGGGGCGGCTGAAGGTGACGAAGCGGTGCTCAGCGACGACGAGTTAGGATGCCGAAAATATGGTGGAAGTTGCGGCCACTGCAAGCCCATCGCCGAGGGGAGCGGGGGAACTTCTAAATCGACTAGAAATGCCAATCAATTCCAGTTATTGTCGCCATTATTACTTGCCGTACGAGTTTGTGCGCTGAAGTGGAAATGTCGTTCGTTATCGGACCATCGAGTGGCAATCGTTGAGCTACTTCTAATGAATGGTGCGAGTCCTGATGAACTGGCGAGCAATGAATGCGATGATAAGGATGCTACCGGGAGGACAGCGCGCGTAAGCCCGAACACTCTTTCAGCGCTTACAGAAGGCCTTCGTGTTTTCCCTCGATACCCTCAAATACTTGCGATGCTGCTCCAGCACGGAGCCGAACAGATTGATATCGCTGACATTGACCGATGGTGCTCTTCACAACGTTCGATTGACGCAAAGCAGGTGGAGGCAGCATTGTCGCTACTGCTTGAGCTTGATCGTGTCGCCAGTAGTTGTGAGTTCTTGGCGATGCTGTTTGTTCGGAAGTATTTCCGCACGTTGGGAGAATTGCTGAAGCTGTGGCCACAGATGACACGAACTCGTACGTCTGAAAGGGATTCAGCGGCGGCCAAGGATAACAATCTCGTGTGCTTGTCAAGAGGCTCGCCATGGAAATGCGTCCACGAAAGTTTACTATCTTGGAGAAATCGAAGAAGGAAACCTGGAGAAGAGAGATCAATCGGCATCGAGCACATAAGGACTTTGTACGGATGGGTCTTAGTCATTGAAGATGGGGGCGTTGAAGTGCACGAGCTTCTTGAGTATTGCTTTGACCACTATCTTCAGCAACGGATTTTTCTACGTATCCCTCGAGGAGACGATGCACCAGTAATGTCACCCGACGAGTGCGAACGTATTCTGCTCCCTTGTATTCGGATTTTGTTCAAGCACTGGAAAATCTCTGAGGTTAGCAGCGAGCGTCTGAAGTGCAAGGCTGCAGCTTGGCTGCAATCTACAATTTTGCTTGGATACTTTGAGTGCGCTTTGGTTCTTCTTGAGACGCTGAATCGACTAGGTGGCCGCCGCCGTTTGTTGGACACTGTATTCGAGCTCTACGCGTCAGCAATTGGCGCTCGAGGAAATCCAGAACGCTCAATACCCTGCCACCAGCGCGAGTTCATAACAATCTGCACTGAAAAGCTGTTAACAACCAAGTCTAGCACAACGGATCCAGGCCGACCACCGTCAGATGACGTAGCTTCGGTTCGAGCATTAGTGCACATGTGTGCCAACAACTTGCCTCTCGAGCTCATTAAAAGCTGCTTCGCCATTGTGTTTCCGGACGGTGCCGCACTAGAAGCGATGAAAACCATGCGCGTGGGAGGAAAGACAATGCTGCAGTGGATTGTTTTGCACGCTCGTGTCGACATCATGGAGTGGCTACTGGCTACAATTCCTGAAGGACTGGAGCGCGGCTCTTACTGGAGTCACTTTGTCGCTGCCTCGGTAACCAGCTTCTCCGCCTGTGAAGAAGGGGACAAAGTTTCCCCCTGTCTCTCGGATAAATTATTCTCAGCTTATCAGGAACTGGTTCAGCTTCATCTCAGCATAAGCGAACGAACGAATCTGCTCGTAAGTTTGATGATAAAACACGCGATTCCGAATGACTGTGTCGAGCTTACAGCGCGGATAGTGAGGGCGATGATCGGTTCAAATGGCGATGCAAACGACGCGGAAGATATCACGCGTGTATTGAAAGACTCCCATATCCTCCACGTTATAGCGCGTCGGGGTGCTACTCGAGTAGGTGAATACTTCCTGTCTGGCCGATGTTCAAGCGATGAAGCAGGGAAAAACTCTGTCAACTGGCGCCAGATCTTCATCAACCAAATCGAGGAGCGACACGAATTAGATGAATGCACTCCACTGGAGCTATGCAGACTGCTGGGTCATAACCACCAATTCAGCCTGCTATCTACCAGAGTGCTTCAAGCGAGTAACTCGTCTGCGAAGAACAAAGTTGACACCGACGAAGTGGGGTCCGACGAGTCGAAGCCTGCAGCAGACAGTGATACAGAGGAGGAGTCGACTGTACAGTGGCAAGTCGGTGTACTTCGAAGTATCCTCGACATCAACGAAAAACGAATGGCCCAACACGCAACGCAGGGAAATACCTTGAGTAGCTACCGGCGGTGGTTAAATCGTAAGGACGACTTGGTGTCCGCGGTGGCGCTGAATCAGGTGTCGCACTTGCAAGCGATGACACTAACGCGTTCTCGATCTTCCGATCCAGATTCATCCGTGCATACATTGATCGTCACGGCCATCAAAAATGCTTCACTAGAGGCTTTGACGTGGATTCTGGAAGCCACTTGCCCCGCCACGAAACACTTGACAGACGCAGAAAGTGTCGAGTGCATCTATATTGCAGCTAAACATCCAGGTGACGTGTACGCCAAGATGACTTTGTTGCTTCTGGAGAACCACTTCAATCCCGGACGCTTGAGTGGCGACGGAATGGGTACACCGCTCCTGCATCGCGCAGCTTGCTTCTCGAATACGCTCCTCGCTTGCCGTATCATGACAATGTTACTCGAGAGAAGCGACTGTGACGTGAACGCGCTGGACGCATTTGGAAACACTGCCGTATCGTATGCACTCGCCTCCGGCTGCTTAGACAACGCGTGTTTCCTCATTCAGAACTTGAAATGTCGACTGGAGGCCGAGTACGAAGGCCAAGCTTGTTTTTACTACGTGCTCCACTTCCTTCCGTCCTTCGCACCGCGCCTGATAATACGTGAGCTATTGATGTTAAAGCGAGAGCGCGCGTTCCTTCACTGCGACGCGGACTACAAGACTTGCGGCTGCAAAAGCTACGAACTGGTTCAAAACAATGGGTCGTTGTGTGGATTTTGCGGTCATGAAGCCTCCAGCCATGGAATGATGCCGCTCCCCTCGTGGCTTCGAGACCAGTACGACACGTACATCGCCGCGCAGAATTCAGCACGGAAACGTTCGCGCTCAAGCTCAGAAGACGAAGGCAACAATGACAGCGATGGCGAAACGTCCCGCCACTATCAAGCGGGGAACCAATACGAAGTTTCGGGTGACGAAGATGAGGAAACAGTACTCGAAAACGCGCGCGGACGCTTGGACGTTGCTGTACTGAGGCGAATAACGGCGATCCGATATGACGACCTCCTTCACGCTAACGGCCTTGCCGTTGCTGGTCAGCCCTTGGATCCAGAGACAATCAGCGCGCGTTCTGATCGTGAAGATGGCGATAACTGCAGGCCGACCTGGAATAGCTCCACCGAAATCGAGTATACTACAGACTCGAGCTATACGATGGAAGAGGAGGAAGCATCGCAAGACGCTGAGGATGGCGGTGGTTTGTTGCAACGAGATGCAGACAAAGGCGTTGGTTTGAACGACACGAGCGCACGTCGACGAGATGCGGGGGCCAAGTCCACGGACTACCCGTGGTGGTTACGCCCAGAGCTTGCGATGGTTCACTCCCCGCGGTGTCTCTGTCAGAAGTCTGCCTTCGTGGTCAGCCCGGTGCAGCTTGCCCACGTTGCCGTGTGCCGATGGCTGCGCCACACAGCGATCAGAGTGCACAGGCAGCAGCAGCAGCACGCAGCTCGGATCAGAGCCCTGGGTTCGTCTCGTTCAACGGAGAGCGCGATTGTCGCGTTGGCTTCCGTTCAACCGGCCTTCGAGCATTGGCGTGACGTTGCGCGGTTAGATGCGCGAGGATCTGCGGAGGCCGTTGCCAGGCCGCCGTCGCGAGTTCTGAGGAGTGTGCTGTTCCAGTGGCGCCACGGCAAGGAGTTCCTGGCCTTCCAGCGCTGGAAGAACCACGAAACGAGCGCCGAAGTCACGCACCACCGCCTCGCGACGAGACTGGAGCAGGTCGTCGCCGACATGCGCCGCAATCGATTCGCGACGCTGAAACTGCGCCAGCAACAGCTCCAAGACGCGACTCGGGGACTTACAGTGCCATCGCCCTAGGATACTTCACACTGCACGGGGGCGTTCAAATATTAATTCCATACCTTTCGTAAACTTTACGTTCACTCTTTCACACCTAGAAACTATCACTATCTCGTCGATTCGTCCTGTTGATCCATAACGTTCCATCCAGTCCGCTTCGCCTGCATCAAACTATAGGTCGTCCATCTCGAACACGTCACCGTAGTGGTCTGCGTGTTGCTGTGGGTATTCCCCTCCTTCTTCTTCTTCGGGGCCTACGCTGCTTTCCAGGTCCTCTTCGTCTTCGATCACTGTGTCGGCTGTGGAGGCCATGGAGGACTCGGATCTGTACTTGAGCAGCAGGCCCCGCTCGCCTGTCGACTGGTCGCTGTTGGCGCGCGCCCGCGTGCTCAGGTGCGAGTTGTTTTGCGCCTCGAACGACTCGCGCGACTCGAACGACAGCTTGTAGTTCCAGAACTCGTCCCAGAGTCGCGCCTCGCACTGGGATTTGCTCAGGTGTTGAAGTTGCTCGGCGTCCACGCCGTGGGTCATGTGGTCGCCCAGGCCCCCGGCGGCGCTGTAGCGGCGCTGGGCTTCGTGGTGCTGCGGGATGGGCACGGGCGGCGAGCAGGGCATGGGCGCGGGGCAGTGGCCGCTGGTGAATGACGCGGCGCGACGCACGAGTCGCTGCTGGCGATAGAACCAGTAGGAGCCGTCGACGCCGTCCTCGTCCTCGTCCTGCGGGACGGTCTTGGGCAGCGGCGCCTCCACGGAGATGAGAGGCGGGGGCGCCAGCAGCCCCATCTTCTTGAGCTCCTGCTTCTCGAGCTCCACGGCCTGCTTGAGGTCCATCTGGAAGCCGTGGCTCAGGCCGCGCGCGCAGTGGCGCAGCACGGGCTTGTTGCTGTCGATGCTGCGGCTGCGCTGCATGGGCGGGCGCGTCGACGCGGACGCGGAAGTGGACGTCGGGCACTTGGGGATCGGCCGCGAGCTGCACGTCGAGGTGACCATGGCTGAGGCGGGATGTGTCGACCACAAAAAATCTTGTTCGGGAGCTGCTCGCTGAGGTTTCTGAAGTTGTGACAGCCACTTCAAGGTGGAGTGATGTATGCTCGGGGTCTGAGGTTATCAACCAGCTCGTCGAGCGTGGCAAAATTGAGTGCGGCCGGCGGGCGTGACTTGCAGCGCGAGCGCGGGCAGTTTCGATGTGAGCGCTAGCCTGCCGTTTGCTTTATGCGGGCTCCGCACTGCCCGAAGGTGAGGGTGAGGTCGAGACGTGGCCGGCTTCTTTTTTATTGCGGCTGTTCGCGTGTCTTTGTCGGACGTAAGCGGGAGCATAGTGAAACCAAGTGCAGCTTTGCGTTTTCAAGTGTGAAACCAAGGTGCGGAAGGTTTCGAGAACCTGCCGCCTTCAAGCCCCCAAGCAGCGCGTCCTGCGCGGGGCGACTTTCCTTGAAGGCAAGCGGCGAGCCTCAATGCCAATGCATCTTGCGGACTATACGAGGCGGATTTTATCAAGCCAGTCCAGGCTGAGATCCTGGCAGTACTACGGTGCTTCGCTTGGCTCCAAATTTCGCGCGATCTCAGAGATTTGAGAAGAGGCGCACTTTCGGTCGCGCTGATTGGCTAAGATTGCGCGACTTTTCAGGATCAGTGACGCAAAATGTCATCAAATCGTCCAGGAAAAGCCGCAACACGCTGAGTATTTCTGTCCGCCCAGCACAAAGACGTCACTTTGGACTTGTACGCGTCCTCGGCTGCAGAGCACTGGCCGCTCGGCTGGCAAGGCGCGGCTGCCGCTGGCCGCCACATGCTGCCGGGCGCTTCGTTTCTTTCGAGCTTTCTGCAGACGCGCATGACGATGGCCGTTTGCAGCTCTTGTAATCAGTGCTGCGGGTTGCTGGCGTTGGGAGCAGGTGCGCGCGATTTGAGGCGCAGTTGGCTTCACCGAGGTAGCCCTGCAGGGCATACTGTGCTCTGCTGCGCGAATCGAGAGATTTAACAGGACCCGAGGGCAAAGAGGCCGCCCTAAGTTAACCGCAACAGCAATCCTTGGTGTTGCATTACAGCTGATCCAGCGGGCGATGCAAATGTTCGTCAATCTTGGCACAAATTGACAATACGAGGAGACCGCAGTAACGGCTGGCCAAGAGAGGAGCAGCAGCAAGAGCCCCTCGCCGGATCATCGGAAATGCTCCTTGCGTCACGCTTTACCATATTGACACCTCTCACGCTGCGCTCTGGCCCTGTGAGCGGAGCGCGTCAAGGCCGGAGTCATGACTGGGGCTGCTCCGGAGCCGGCGATTGGCAGGAGTTGCTCCGGCTGGCCGCGCACGCTCCGCTAGCCTGCTTTACGGTTCCATAGCCAAGGCGGTCTCCTTGTGTGCATTCATCGTAAGCCGCACGAAAGAGTGATGAATACACATTACCAGGTGATCACCAGCGCCAGTGTTGGCACAAAAATGATTTAAATATTTTTATCGCTTATAAAAATCCATAAAAATATTGTTTTTCGATTTTTATTCATATAAGTGTGATTTTTGTTATCCTTCTTTTTGTATAGACGAAACCGCTTTCATTACAAGACTGGGTTCTCTATTCGGGCACCTTTACTGCAAGCGTGAGCACTGACACGATGGCATGGCCGCTGGCAATCTCAACAGCAGAGCTACTGTCCTACAGACGGATCCAGACGAAGACGCTGTCGATAGCGTCGAACCGCCCACCAACACGATGCCACTTGACTCATCCCGCTGGCAATGTCGCGTCGCCACCATCAACGGCAGACAACCCCACCGACAAGCTGATGCTGCCAGCCAAAGCAGCACCGCCAGATCCAGACGCCGAGCCTGACGAAGGTCACACGCCGCCCGTCGCCGCGCCGGTCGTACTGTCCAGTCGCACCAGCACAATCAGCCAAAGCCACGTCGTGCGAGCTGCGAGCGCCGGACACTCGCACCGATCCGTGAGCACTTGACGCCTCGCTGCCAGCTACGCCGACCAACCCGCTCGACTGTGTTGATGAGCGCCAGACCCGATCAAGACAGCACCAGCCGGACCGGTTTCCCCATCAGCGACTCTGTGCCACTGCTCACGGATCTCGCGCCGCCGTCAGACACGAGCACTTGCGCCCCAGACTCGCCTCCGCCACGGACGAACAACGCAAACGGCGCGCCTCAAAGCAACAGACTCGAGGTACATTGGCACTGTGATGCCGCTGACCGCTTGCCCCTCAACTACTGCTTGTTGTCTACGCTAAGCCGCCCGCGCTCGCTGTGCTACATGTCGCCTGTGCTCTGATTGTCTGCAGCGAGGATACCGCTACTATTAGCGCAACTACGGTTCCTCTGCAGCTCCCGGTTTATTCGATTAAGCGGGATTTGTTCGATAAAAATGTAAAAATCGGATAAATCCTTCGATATTTTTTTTGCCAACACTGCCAGCGCCCACTAGATGTAGTGCTCTCTAATCGAAACTCGGGACGCAGGAGCAGGTTTCGACACGATCTTTGACTCCGCAATACAAAACACAAGTCACTTCCTAAAAAGACTGTTGAAGAGCAAGCAGCGCCAGAGACTGCTGACGTCGCCGAAATCTCGTAGTGACAGAGTTTACTTCCATTGGTATTAGTGTGTGTCGTGTAGAGGTCAATGATTCTCAAGATTGGCAAGCTTTGTGCAGACCAGAGCTCGTTTAACTTCTTTGCTACCGCTCTTTAAACGTGAGATCTATTGTTGAAGCCTCTTCAACTGTCGTTTCACATGTCGCGGGGTCAACCGTTAATGTACGGTACGATCGCAGAAAAACGCACTTAACGCGGATCCCTTGGTACTGTTCCACCACAAGCCCCGTCGGTACCAGACAAGCGGTACAATTCTGACGTCGACATTGAAGACAGCAAAATGGATTCGCACGGAGCTCGTGACAGCGCTAATGACTTCGTTCACGCCGAACATGAGGCCAGCCCTGCTGGTCCAACACTCTGCCGCCGAGGTGGCACTACCCACGCACGATGGAGAATATCGGTTTCGCGGTCAAGATTCACCGGAGACCATGACTCGGGCCTCGTCGAGCACTTGGAGAAGGTGACGATGCACGACAAACTCCAATTCGTGGAGAAGCACCAGCGACTTTCTTTCTGATGCAGCAAGTGTTGGCATCGCTGGTCTGGGGAGAATACTCGCTCAGTTGGTGCTATTCCGAGCAGTTGCCGCGTAACGGTTTGGCCCGAAAAAGGCAACAATCTCGACACCTCCACCCCACCCCACCCTAGCTGTACTGCATCGATCACCATGGACCAGCACTACGACGAGCTGTACAAAGGTCCAGACGTGTCGATTGACCTGCGATACCAATCCTTGCCCTTGACTAACTAACTCGAATCCATTTTGTGGTGTTGAACAGTGGTGCTGGTGGGAGACCCGGGCGTCGGGAAGACCAATCTGCTAGCCACCTTCCTCGCGGCAGATGCCGTCAACGAAGACGGAGTCTCGCGCTCATTCTCCGCCGTTCGTAAACCAACCATCGGTGTAGAGTTTGCCACTGCCATTGTACGCCACCCCAACGGGAAACGCCTCAAGGCGCAGATCTGGGACACAGGTACACCCAGTCTTCAATGCATGCACCGGTATTTGATCTAATTATCTTCAATTGATGCACTGCTAGCCGGACAGGAGCGCTATCGTGCGATCACCAGCTCGTACGGAATCCGACAGTAGCTCAAGCGTGAGGCTGAGAATCTAACATCGTTTTATTGTCATGAAGGCACTACCGTCGAGCTGCGGGGGCGCTCATCGTATTCGATGTGACCAGCCGCGAGACGTTCCAAAACGCCCAAGCGCACTGGCTCAAGGAGCTGAAGGCCGCAGCGGGTCTGAGTAGCACCCTGACCAGCTGCATCATGCTTGTGGGCAACAAGGTGGACTTGGAGTCGCCACAGGCGATGCTCGACACAAACTACGTCGACCAGGAGCAGCACGAGACAGCCGCCACATCACTTGGCCTCATGCACCAGCGCGCATCGGCCAAGACCTGCTTCAACGTGCGTCAAGCGTTTGAAGACCTCGTGATCGCCATTTACGACGCCGATAAAAGCAAAACTACTCGACCGGACGCACTCCCACCGATTCAGCTCGACCAGCGAACGTCAGTATCTCGACAGACTACCCCTAAAAGCAGGGGAACTGCAAACAATAAGTGCTGCTAGACACGGGCCGGCTGGTAATAGTGAGAGATTTCGTGGTAGTGTAGTAGTCATCGCGATGATCTCAGGTTAAAGCATCTCCACCTTTGATTGGCTATCTCTCCTCGCAAGTAGCCACTGTCTACAGTTTGCTAAACGGGTCTCGAGTTTGTTTGGCAATGCCGGAGTACAATGGTCGATGTGCTGCTCCTCCGTGGCGGCGTCTCCAATCGGCTTCCCGTCCGGCGAAATGAACAGCGTTCCTACTTGCTCCCCATTAAGAATCATGCTCTCCACGCCCATGCACGCCACGAGGTCCAGCGCACAGTCTAGTACAATGCACGCGAACCTTCTTCGGGCCTCGTTGTTCTTGAAGAAGAGCGAGTGGAGAACCACCGCCGACAGGCAATTGACAGCCAGCAACACGAAGTAGAAGCGGTTGAGCATTACTCGTGGCAGCAAGATGCTCATCCGGTGGGCTTGCGCGGTCTGTAACGCGGTCTCAACGACTTCGCGGCATATCAGCACGGCGTAGAAGTAGTCGCTTTCCACGGCAAATGGGGCCGTGACTCGGTCGTAAATGGTCGACAAGCTCTCGAAGACGGTGTTTGAGCGCACTTTGGTCGAGTCTTCGTTGTCCGAATCCGCGGCACAAGACGACCACGGCGTGAAGGCCAAGGAACGCTGCCAGAGCGAGCCCCCGAGCATGGACAAGATGCAAACGCCGTGAACCGCCGACATAATGGCGTGTACGACGGCGATTGTCTGGTGGTAGGGAGTACGAGTGGAGCGCGTTGTAGACGCACGTGACGACGTGGACGGCCAAAATGACGACCCACCAGAAGACGAACGCAGCTTGACCGCCGCGTTCACTAGCATCAGGATTGTAAGGAAGGCCCTTGTTCGTATAACGTCAGCTGGTTCTCCCACTGACCTCACACACGCTCAGACCGCAGCTACAAGTCTAAAAGCTGACGCATTTTTCAGCTAACTTGGCACTGCTGCACGAATAGAGCAACTTGTCTGCGACGTGTGAGAAAGGCAACATCCAGCAACTTTTGGTTGTTGCCTTTCTCACACGTCGCAGACGCCAGAGGCTTCTTACAAACTTCAAGTGATTTCCACGACCAATCACACGCTGGCTGTGCATGTCCTTTGAGCCCACTCCCCAACCCGTAGCTGCTCGAGCAGCCCCCCCCCTGTACTACAGGCTGTACCTGGCATGGCCCCCGAGATACGCGAGTTCGGCCGCGACCTGCGCCGCGCGCGCACGATCCTCATCAAGATCGGCACGGAGATCGTGCACTCGCCCGAGGGGCTGCTGGCCATGGGGCAGATCGGCAACATCGTGGAGCAGATCGCGGCGCTGCACATGCGCGGGCACAACATCATCCTCGTGTCCAGCGGCTCCGTGTCCATCGGCAAGATGGTGCTGCACCGCCAGTACCTGCTCACGGGCTCCATGCAGTCGCACCTGGGCGGCCAGGTGGACGACAACGTGCAGTTCTACGAGAAGGCGTGCGCGGCCGCGGGCCAGAGCGGCCTGCAGAGCCTCTACGAGATGCTCTTCGCCCAGTACCACCTGGCCTGCTCGCAGGTGCTGGCGTCCGACGCCGACTTCCGGGAGCCGCAGGTGCGCGCCAACCTGCAGCGCACCGTGCGCGCGTTGCTGGACGTGGGCATCATCCCCGTCATCAACGAGAACGACGTCATCACGAGGCGCACGACGCCGCTCATCAACGAGAACAAGGTCGCGTGGGACAACGACTCGCTGGCCGCGCTGTTTGCCCAGGAGATGATGGTGGACCTCATGGTGCTCATCACGGACGTGGACGGCATCTACACGGGCTCCAAGGACGACCGCAAGCTGCTCTCGAGGTTCCGCAGGGGCGACAAGCAGCTGGTTGCAGCCGAGAGCCGCGTGGGCGCCATCGGACAGAAGGACAAGCTGCACTCGTGCATCCGTGCAGTGGACAGTGGGGCGGTGCGGGCAGCGGTCGTGGCGAAGGCTGAGCAGGGAGTGCTGCTCCGCATCTTGAACGGAGAGAAGGTGGGCACACTGTTCGTGTCGGACGGAGAGCCCATCGGAGACGCAGACGTCGAGGAGCAGCACATCGACCCGCTCTACTCGGGCATCGCGCCCCAAGCAAGAAACCCTATGAGCAAGCTGTAGGCTCTGAGACGAGATAGCGCTCGAATCGTGGTAAGTCTCTTAAGAGGATAATATCGAATTGCCATGAAATGTATCTGCGTTGTCAGCGTTCACACTAATAAGCAGCGACGAGGTTTGTTGCAGCGATGGAACAAGAACCCAGTAGTCTCGCGAGGCACCATCAATCTATCTAATCACTGCTTGAACTGGCCAGTCCCTCGCATTACGAAATCTGTGGTGCTGAAGAAGTCGATAATGGGGCTGAGCAAGTATTACCGGTTGGTCGAAGGGGCTAGACGGTCTAGATGCCAGAGTGAGGTTAAGCAGATAATAGTTTCTGGTGGAGCTGCTACTCGAGGTTTCCGTCAGTCAGTGTATGAGGAATGCAAGCGTTCTCTTCCACCAAGTGTCCGTCCGTCTGACCTCCAAGTGTTCGCGAACGGCGAGGACGAGAAGCCTCTGGGCGTGATCTTCAGTTTGGATGGCTACGGTGACGATGAAGACAATCCTCTTGTGGTGGAAGTGCCCATGGTCTGGTATCGGCTAATGAAAGCTAGCAGCCGCGCGCCGTTCGAGGGCACCGGTGCCGATGTGGTCCCGCTGGCCGCAAGAAACACAATAAGGAACATGCGGGATGTCGTCTTTACTGAGCGTCGACCCATTCTCCCCAACCTGGTGGCAAGTCAACTTAGACGAATCATCGAACGAGCCTTTGGACATCAATTCGCGGATTGAATCGCTTGACCAAACACAAGATCGTGCGCTGGTCGTAACTGTGCCAGTAGGGACAAGATCGTGGGACGAGTTAGAAGATGACGATACAGATGAAGAGGTTCCGGCAAAACGTCAAAAGCTTTCTGCTCCTTCGAACTGGGAATGGAAGGAAGAGGAGCCAATCTACTTCATGGCGACAGACAGAATGTTTTTCGTTGGCCGGGATAGTGCGAAGCAGCAGCTTCTACAAAAAAAGCAACTACCATTGCGCTAAGACAGGGTGCGGTATGACCTGGGTGGTCCCTTTGGTCGATCATTTCTCCGGCCTAGGCAAGTCGACGCTCGGCATGGAGTACATTCAGAGTTGCAACCGACACTGGAAGGGGTTGTCCGACGTTGAGAAGGAGATGAACGGCTTCTTGAATTTCGTGCGGAAGTGTCATACGATCAGAATTCAATTCCATAGTTGGGACCTCCTGGACAGTAACTTGACGTTTGATAGTAGAAAAGCTGCTAGCAGATTGATTGGAAAGATCGCGTTATTCTTCAGCACGGAATATGGCACCGTTGCTCGAGCTGTGGGATCGGAAAAGATCCGAGTTTTCAAGCTGTTTTGGTGAATCTGACGATGGAAGTTGGGCCATTGTTCATCGTGATTGACGATATCGGTATGGCTTTCGATGCCAAGCTTTCGGACGGTGACAAGATAGAGCGCTTCATGGACTTTGGTAGCGAAATCCTGATGCTGATGTGGTGCAAACCTTGTTCTTCCTGATTGCTGGTCGCGTGCCGTTTCTCAGCTGCCATTTGAACTCGCATGAACGATTCGTGATTCGACGTCTTAGTCTTGATCTTCTTCAACCCCCAGCGATAGAGGAAAGCAATTCATCAAGCATGTAAATCACAGACTATCAAGGAGTACTACAACCGGTAGCTGTTCATCTATTCAAAGCAACGCTCGATCAGCCATCACCCCTACTAAAAGAAAGTTGCTGTCAAAGCTTGCCGACGCCAGTTCCTCAAAGATAACATGACTGAATGATCTGATAGTCTGCACAACGGCACAAGCCACCGATCTGCGAGCATTTTGAAGGAAAGCGTTGCCCAGCCGCGCAGTTCGCAGAGTAATACGGTTGTGATCACCGATGAAGTATTTATTTGATATGAGTGGATAAGCGTCCGAAACGAAATCGTAGCTTAGTTCATTTGTTGGTCCTTGACGGAATTCTCAAGTCACCTGCTCAATCGAACGTCACTCCAACACAGTGACTCTCATCCCAGTATCTTTAAGCAAGTGCCCACTCCAATCTTCAGACATGCTGCCCACTCCATCGTCCAAAGTGAAGACAATGGTGTGTTAACGTTACAACGTCGACTTCAACGGCAAAAAAAAGCAGACAAAGAGGGTATGCTCGCTGTAATTTGTGAACCCTAAAAAAAAAATTCTTAATTAAGGGTATAAGAAGTAAAACATCCCTGGATCAACGCAACAGTTTTGAAGAAAAATGCCTGCTCGGAAGCGCCTTGCAAGTTTGGCTCCTAACCAGAAACCGGTTAAGGTGCACCTATAACGACTCAAAAGGATAAGTATTGGGGCCAAAATGAACTGATAATAGCGCTAGTCTGGTGCCACAGGAGCTTCCAAGAGTAATGCCCACTTCACTTCATTCAGAAACTTGCAGTGTCCGTCACAAGTAACTTCGCAACATGGCAGGCCATACTCTTCACTTAACGAAGGGAATTTATCTCTCGGGCTGGGCGTTCGTTTTCTGGTGGTTTGTCATCCTCGTTGTGCATATCGTGACCTGCATCTACAACGCACTATACGCCTACTGCTATTTGAAACTGGAGGACACTTTCCTGAACCTCTATCTTGACTCTTTCAATATCGGCATGCCATCTCTGTACCACCTACCGGTTGCTATCGTGCACGCGACCATGTCGGCGCTTCATTGCATCTGCATCTTACTCATGCTTGTTGGATCAGTTTGGCAGCGGTCGTTGGCGTTTACACCGTGGTCATCTTGTATTCCAGGCTCGACCAACGGATTCAACAATGATCGTACGACCAGTTCTGCTCTTTTCCGGAGCTTCTCAAAAGCGTATACGAAGATAACGACTCCGTGCGGAGTCTGTGGAGTTAAGGGCGAGTACTTTTACGTGGTTTTGATTAGTCGCGAGCTTGTGGAGACAGCGCTGCAGACTGTACAAGCTTATCGGATGAGCCTGCTCTTGCCGCGGATGCTGCTTAACAGATTTTACGTCACTTTGCTTGTAGTCAATTGCTGGTCGTCAGTGATTGTTCACTCTTGTTCAAGCGTGATGAGGGGCGCAGACGATTCACTTGTATTGCATTGGACTGTGTGCTCGACCTTATGGCATACATGGGAGTGGAGATCATTGTTGTACTGAGTTACGTGGGTCAGTACGATCCGAAATTCTTGGGCTTCCCTGAGATTATTTGGTATAACGATGAGTGGGTAGCTCGTGAGTTGAACGAGTGTCAGATGAAACTCGTTGTCTCCTGGTGGGATCTGGCCAGCCGTGCCATCTTCTCACTGGGCCTTGTCATGACCACTGCAAGTATGAAGACGTTGTTGTGGCAACTGCCAGCATAGGAACATGTCCTCGCTACAAACGACCATCTTTGGAGCCCCAGCATCAACCCTGTAAGCCCAATGCCCCCAATCCAAGCGTGTCGAAACTGAAAGACGAGTCCACGTTGAACCAACTGCAAATGAATTTGCGGTTTCGTGCGGGGAAATTGCTGCAAAAAACAGTTCACACAGTGTTCGCGTGCTGGGGAATGTTAGTATTGGGGCTTCACATTCAAGCCTCTCTGCAGCCGACACTTCCCCAATGTTTAATGCAGGTTAGACCTTGGGGTGTAACTCGTCCATCGTGTTACCTGGTTGGACTAGATTGCTACAGACTTGGCATCGAAGGTAGAATGATTGAAGTTGAAGAAAAGTGGAGTGAGTTCGACAGCTCCACCGTCGTGCAATTGCTTATTCGCCACTGCCCGGCGCTGGAAATGCCCACATCTTCACTGAGTTCCACGGACTTCGAAACATTAAAGTGTACAAAGCAACTATCGATGAGTGGGGTGAATCTGCTGCCATTACCAACACCAACCACCCGGCAATGACTTCGCTGATGATCGTCCGAGTCAATATGACGGATGGTCTCCTGCCTGAAGGCTTCCAGTCGGCCGATTTTCCCCAAACTTTGTATGTCTTTGAGTTTTGCGTGACGAATCTTCGAACACTTCCGGAAGACCTGGACACCAAGTGGCCGCTGTACTCGATTATCCAGCTGGAGTACAGCCAGTTAACCGTCGTGCCTCCGGTCTTGGCTCGCCTCGAGCCCTACTATATAGCACTGACTGGGAACCGGATCAGAGAAATTCCCCCCGAGGTGTTTGAGGTCCAAGGCATGCTTTTCCTCAGCATCAGCAACATGCAGATCACTGAACTCCCACAACAAGTTACTCAACTGTCGTCAGAGCTGTCGTGGATCTTCATCGGCGACACCAATATTTCATTCTTCTGGGCGTGGACTGATGAACTTGTGGAGCGCATGAAAGGCAAAGCCTATCCGTGGCTAGCTGGGCCTTCTCCATATTGCGACGACCTTAAAAAGATCGTGAACGGCTCAGCCACTGCGTTTAGCGTCCCTTTATCGCCCGAGTACTCGCAGACGCTCATGGACCCGTCCGAGGTCAATCGAAACGTAATCCTGAAGGCTGTCCGTTGTGACCCCACCATTCACGGTCTGTTCTACCCTCTTGAAATGGAAGACAACAATAACGCTATTAGCACTCCACCTCCACTAGCGAGACAAGGATGAAAAGACAAACAATATGGCTATTTGCAAGCGAAGGATGCTAGAGAAATGTAATTTAATAAATATTCCGATATTTTCACATAATTTTGAAGAAAGCATTTCTTATAGGATTCTTGGCCAACAATTATTAATAAATCTAAAGCTCATCGTGCATTTTGGTACCGTGAACGAGAATAGCATCGCCCAAGCTCAGCGACGAACTTCGAGCTCCATTGGTGTCGTCGACAAGAAGGCAGCAAGCAACAGACCAACCAACCAACTTCATTGACGATGAATCGCAGAACCAGCGCCGCACTTCGTGAGGACATCGATGCTCCCCCAGTACAGCAGCCTTCAAAGAAGGTCGCACCCGACGTGGTCAAGCTTTCGTATTGGGGGTTTGCGCTTTGGTGGCTCATTATCCTAGGCGTGCACGTGGTCACCAGCGTCTACAATGCCCTGTACGCCTACTGCTACTGGAAACTGAAAGACGCCTCACTTCTCGTGTACCTGGAGTTCTACCACATCGGCCTGCCGCAGGAATACCATAGCACAATTGCAGTCGTCCATGCAGTCATGTCTGCAGTGCACGGAGTTTGTATTCTTCTAATGCTAGGGGGCTCTCTGTGGCAATTGTCACTAGCGTTCTCTCCGTGGTGGGACAGCTCCATCGCCCAAATAAACAACACAGCGAAGACCAATTCCGGAAACGCTGGAACGCGAAAAAGTAGTATTATCACCACGGGAGTTGTCAAGATTTGGGGTCGACACGGATTTTGTGGAGTGAACGGAGCTCATTTCTACGAAATTCTCATCTGGCGTGAGGTTATCGAGACCACCTTTCAGACAATCCAAGCCTACCGCATGAGTGTGCTGTTACCTAGGACGGTGCTCAATCGGTTCTACGTTTTCTTACTCGCAGTCAACTGTTGGTCGTCCATCATTGTCCACTCAGTGTTTCGCAAGCGAGGGGAAGCGCAGAAACGACTGGCTTGCATTGTGTGTGACTGTATTCTGGACCTCGTCGCGTGTATGGGCATCGTGCTGATTATTCTGCTCAGTTATGCAGCCGCCTACAATCGTGAGACTCTAAGTTTCGACTACGAGTACTGGTGGAACGACGAGTGGCTCGCTCGAGCTCTGAACGATTTTCAAATGGTCGTAGTAGTTTCGTGGTCAGACCTTGCAAGTCGCTCCATCTTTTCGCTTAGCTTGGTCGTGGCGACAGCGGACATGAAGGATTTACTGCGATATCTAACGAGAGATACCAAGCGTGTTTCTCAATCGTGAAGCACACGCTCGTCTGAGTCCGACGCGGTAAGTCCGCCGTTTTGGGTGAAGAAGCGCAGCGCCGTAAGCCCACAACCTCAAATCAAGCGTTCTAACACCCCGGTCATGTTCAAACGACCATCCTTTAAGCGCAAGGACAGCAACAGGGAGACAATCGTTCGCACTACTGGCGCGAAACATCGGGTACTCCGTACAGCTCACGTACTCTTCGGTGTTTGGGGCTTGATGGTACTTGGGTTCCACATCCACGCCTCGCTTCGAGCATCTTTACCGCAGTGTTTGATGCAGGCAAGACCATGGGCAGTATCCCGACCTTCGTGCTACTTGGCTGGACTGGACTGTCACATCTTGGGGATATCTGGAAACATGCAAGAAGTGCACGAGAAGTGGAGTGAGTTTCACGCCTCCTCGGATGTTCAACTATTGATTCGTCATTGCCCTGCGTTGGAGGTCCCTGACGTTATAAGTGAATTCAACAACCTACGCGGAATGAAAATATACAACACCATCATCAGTAATTGGGGTGAGTCAGCCGCGATAACGAACACGAAGCACCCCGATTTAACGTACATGTCGATCGTTCGTGTGAATTTCTCGACGGATGGCTTGCTGCCCGAAGGATTTGAGTCGAGCGATTTCCCGCAGAAAATGAACGACATCGAGCTCTGCGTCACAAATTTGCGCGAAATACCAGGTGATCTCAACACTAAGTGGCCCCTAGGAGCGATTATTCAAGTGGAGTACAGTGAGCTTTCAGCCTTACCGTTGGTGCTAGCTCGACTTCAGCCTTACTATACGTTTCTGACTGGGAACCCGATCACGGAGCTGCCTGCTGAGATTTTTGAGGTTGAAGGCATGGTCTATTTGGGCGTTAGCGGGACAAATATCCGTGAATTGCCCCAAAATGTGACGCAAGTGTTTCCTGATTTGATTTACGTCGAGCTAGTTAACACCAGAGTTTCCTTCTTCTGGTCGTGGGTAGACGAACTTGTGGGGCGTGTGGATGGTCCTGCGACTATTGTTGCTGGAGGCTCAATCTGCTGCGACGATCTGGAAAAGATTGAAAATGACAGTATGGTTGATACATTCTCTAGCTCACTTACGCCGGAGTATTCGACAGTTCTGATGGATCGGTCTGACGCAAACCTGCAAGTGATCGCAGAGATTGTTCACTGCGACTCCGCTGAAGCACCATTTTATCCCCTCGCTTTCGATGATGATGCCAACGCCTTGCAGCCTCCGCCGGCACTACCAAGACACGGATAAAAGGCATATTAGGCTTGCGGATCGGTATGCGGCCGATTGTTTTTCGCTGGAGGACTAGCGAGAAGACAATTTTGGGTGTGTGGCACATACCAATGAAGGTGTCATACAGTACGTGGTGCATTTACCTTCCCATCTCTGCGCGCTTAGTACAGCATTTACCATCTAATCATGATTAGACAACTTCATGACAGGCGTGCAGTGGCAGTGGACGGGAGGCTCTCACTTTGCAATCTCCGAGCAAAGAATCCCGACCAAAGTACCGGTATGGCAATGCGGTGTGCGTTCCTGCTGCCCGCCGTCGTGTTACTTGGCACCTTCGACGTTGGCTCCTCCGCACTCGTGTCGTCCGAACAAGGCGGTATGATGAAGATGACAGCCCGAAACGTGAAAATGACGAATCGTTTCCTACGCTATCAAGCTGGTACGAATGGGGCCGAGTCGTCAGCCCTAACCAAGCTCGTACAACGTGCTGCTCATTTGGCGGCTGGCACTCTGAAGGTTGACGTGCACCCGATGTCCGCGTTCAAGTTGCTGGGTCTTAACATGGCAGGGGTGAAACTTGACGGCAACCCGAGTTGGTTGCAATGGCTCAAACTTACGAACGCGTACATGGAGAAGAATCCCAAGTCGGGCTTTAAAGTGCATAGCACATACGCTTTCCTATACCGGCAAACTTCGGAAGCAGAGCTGCCAGTACTGCTTCAAAACCTAAAAGAGGCTTCGGGTGTGGGAAAACTGGTTAGCGAGCTGCGGCGGTTTCAGTTTGGTGTTTGGGAGGGGAAAGAGTTCAAGCCCAACCAGGTAGCAAAAAGCGTGTTCAAGATTGACGATGTCAGCAAACTCTCCAAGGATGACCCAAGAGTCCGCGCTATTGAAGACTATGCCAAGTATCTCGTGCGAGAGGAGGAGCTCAAAAAGCTCATCAACTACGTTGAGCGGCCACAGGTCTGGTACTACTGCTGTAGTCTATCACGAATAAAACTACGTCGGACAATGCTAATCAAAACGCAGCGTTCGCGAGTCTTGTACTTACATCTGATAGGATAGATCAAGTTGCACGAACCCCCAGTCAAAAAATAGACCTACGTAGCACAAATAGAAGCACAAGTGTCATGGGAAAAGTAAAGACTGCAACACGCGGGGGGAGGATGGTGGCTACCGGGCATCAAGACCGAAAGGCACCTACTAACGTCGTCAAGCTTTCATACGGGGTCTTCACTGTATGGTGGTTCATTATCCTTGCAGTGCACGTTGTTACCTGCACCTATAATGCACTCTACGCCTACTCTTACTGGAAGCTTGAGGGCACTTATCTCAACTTGTGCCTCGAGTTTTACAAGATCGGGTTGCCTCAACCGTACCACAAAGCCATTGCCGCCGCCCATGCCACTATGTCAGCTATCCATGGAGCGTGCATCTTGCTCATGTTGAGTGGATCAGCTTGGCAGCGCTCTCTCAATTTCACCCCATGGTCGTCTTGCAAGGTCGGTGTTAACACTGCCGCAGCACGGAAAGGATCGACTTTGGACCGCCTTGGAGAATTCTACGACAAAGTCACATACCCGTGCGGTCTTTTCGGAGTAAGGGGCGAATATTTCGAAGTGGCTCTTAGAGCTCGAGAGATTGTGGAAACCGCACTGCAGACTGTCCAAGCCTACCGGATGAGCGCTTTACTGCCACGAGCTCTTCTTAATCGCTTCTACGTTGTTCTGTTGGTAATTAACTGCTGGTCTTCTCCTTTGGTGGACATTGGTTTCCACAAGCAAGACGAGGCCCGAAGACGGTTCGCGTGCGTTGCACTCGACTGCTTGCTGGATCTCATGGCTTGTATGGGGATTCAGCTGATCGTGCTGCTGGCGTACGTGGATGACTACGATCCTGGTATCAAAGGCTTTGATGGAACAATTTGGTATAACGATGAGTGGGTCGCTCGAGCACTCAACGAGTTCCAGATAATTGTCGTTGTTTCGTGGTCGGATCTAGTGAGTCGAGCGGTATTCTCGCTCGGGTTGTTCATTACTACGATGAGCATGAAGAAGCTGATACTGCAACGGCCGCGATGTAGCAACCGAGTTTCCACGACGAATTCTACTGCTATCAGAACAATTTGTGGGCAGTCGACTCAGCCAGAAAACACGCTCACTCTCGTACCAGTTGCTCGACAGCCGAACCATTATCCTACGTCTCTGATGCTTCGTGCGAGTCGAATAAGGCGGATGTGGTATCGTAGCGGTAGTAAAAAATTTCTCGTGGCACAGATAATTTTTGGAGTATGGGGATTTGTGATACTCGGCCTTCACATCCACGCATCGCTACAGCCCACGCTCCCTCAATGTCTGATGCAAGTCAGCCCTTGGACGGCTTCCCGTCCATCCTGCTATTTGGCTGGACTTGACTGCCACACCTTGGGAATATCTGGCAGCGTGGAGCAGGTACTGGACAAGTGGAGCGAGTTTGACGCCTTCACGGTCGTCCAGCTCCTGATCCGACACTGTCCAGCGCTTGAAGTCCCCCATATCTTCAGCGATTTCCACAACCTTCGAGTAATTAAGGTATACAACACAACTATCATCGACTGGGGGGAATCTGCCGCGATCACGAATACGAACCATCCATACATGGCATCGCTGTTTATCGTTCGAGTTAATATGACGGACGGTGTGTTACCTGCGGGCTTCCAGTCCGAGGATTTCCCACAAAGTTTGAATGACATCGAAATATGCGTGACGAACCTACGGGATTTACCTAGCGATTTGGACGTGAAATGGGCTGAAGGAGCTATCATACAAGTGGAGTACAGTCGACTTGAGACGCTGCCGTTGGTTCTCGCACGCCTCAAGCCCTACTATTTGTACTTGACAGGAAATCCAATTAGTGACCTCCCTCCCGAGATTCTTGGAGTCGACGGTATGGTGAGTTTAGGCATGGGGGATACGAATGTTTCCCAGCTTCCTCCTAATGTGACGGATGTATCGCCGTCGCTGTCTTTGATCGAGATCGACAACACCAACATTTCCTTTTTCTGGTCCTGGGTAGATGGGTTTGTTGGACGGACTGAAAATCCTGGTATGTTCGTTGCCGGGGGGTCTTTCTATTGCGAGGAACTCGAGCAAATAGAAGAAAACTCCAGCAGTTCTTTCCAAGTGTCCCCGGCACCCGAGTACTCTTCCGTTCTAATGGACCCGTTTGAAACAAACCGAGGCGCAATTTTGCGTGCTGTTGACTGTACGGAATACGACATAGGTCCATACTACCCACTCGAATTTGACGACGGTATCAACGCTATCACCGCCCCACCTCCGTTTGGAAAACACCGATAAAAACCAAACAAAGATTTTGACTCAGGCGTTGTGACAGGCTCCGATGCGGTGGGGCCTGCCGTAGCGAAAGTGCGTGGAGTTGTTGTGGTTGCTTGCTTGCTTTTGGGAAAAATGCAAAGTGAGATTGATTCCTTTAAGTCTTTGGGCTAGCTACGGCTCTAGGTCTTCCTCTTGCTTTCTCCTTAGTGTCGTTCTAGAAGCTGAGCTAACCTATACTATTTGCAAGTGTTTTTTTTCTGTTTTCGTAATCCTATATATGCATGTTTGTATACTTGTGCAGGTAGAGTTCTGGATTCCGGGTGCCAGGCAGTCTTGCGCAAGCCTGGCGCCAGCCTTCAAGCGACGCTGCGCGCAAGCTACTTGTGGCGGAGGAGGAGGCGGCGGCGCTGCGACGCCTGACTTCCTAGCCACCAGGTACGTCTTCCTTGAGCATGTCTGTTGCTGGCACCCACGCAAGCGGGTACGCCAGCAACAGACATGCTGCATCATATCATCCCCCTGGACTTTTAATCGCGTTGGCGCTGTTGACGGAACTTGTGAAGAAGTTCACGCCAATGCGATACACGTTTGAGCTTGACGTCGTACTCCCAAGTGTTTTCCGAATCGGGAAGTCCGTGCCACTTGACCAGCCAAAGCCGTTTGTTGTTGCGCTGTTTCTGCTGATGCAGAGCCTCTGGGAAATGTAGTTCTTCGTCGGTTTCATCGTCGAGGAGTACTGGTGCAGACTTGGGCAAAGGTCACGACGCGAAGTGTTGAGGGTTCGGAACGTCATACTTGATGAACTCAACATTGAAACTCGGGTGAAGGCGACTCATGTGGCGTGGTAGCTTGAGCCGTGCTACGTTGGAGTTGATTAGCTTCTCGATTTCGAGCGGGCCGATGTACCTCATCGCTAACTTCTCACGGTTGAGCTCCGTGTTAGCCGTGATGCGCTTGAGTGGCAAGTTACGCGTGTCCAGCAGGACAAGGTCTCCTTCCTTGAACTCCACGTCTCGGCGCTTCCTGTCGTAGTACTTCTTTTGACGTTCTTGAGCTGCCAGGAGATTCTTGCGCGCCAATTCAATGATCTTCTTGCGTTCTTCAGCAAACGTCTGCGCAAAATCAACTAGCGGGACATCTTCATCACGAACTTCACCAGATGTGATCTGGGATACCAAGTTCCTGACCTTGCGTCCTGTGTCCACTTCGAACGGCGTAAGCGTTGTCGAGGAGCTCTCCAGCGTCGCATGTGCGTACTCGGTTGTTCCTAAATGCGTAGCCCAGTCTCAACCATGATAGGACACCATGCACCGTAATGCATCTTCCAAGACAAGGTTCTGACGCTCAGTCTGTCCATCCGCTTGGGCTCGATATGCCGTGGTGAGCGACAACTTGACCCCCATGATATCCATGAGCGACTTCCAAAACTTTGATGTGAACTTGGGGTCTCGATCGCTGATGATCACCTTCGGCAGACCGTGATGACGAACGACTCCTTCAAAGAAGATTCGTGCAACCTCCGGGGCATCTGCCGTCGTATGTGTCGGAATATACTTGGGTCGCTTGGACAGTTTGTCCACCACTGTCATGATTGCATCGAAGCCATTGGAACCAGGTAGTCCTGTCACGAAGACCATAGTCACTACTGTCCAACACTCACTCGGAACTGGAATTGGCATCATTGTAATGGGCCTACTTTGGCTCACTACTTTAGCTTACATGTGTGCGCGTGTATGTGAGGAAGCGTAGCTTAGTTTAACTTAGAGTTAATTATACTCGGGCCTCCGAGTATAGATTAATCTAAATAAACGATCCAAATAATGTTTTTGGGTTAAAATGAGAACTGCTATTTTTGTTTTATGTTCCTGACTTCCTTAAAATGTAATATTCTAAGATAGGAATCTGCCAACCAGCCGTTGGCAGAATTCCAATGCTATGCATGTCGCTCATTGGCTAAGATATACTGCTCTCAGCCAATAGGAATCATAAGTCTCTATGGACCACCCGTCGTGGTGGTCGTAAATGTATGTAGCCTTTGGTGTGTCTACACCAAGGTCGAGAAAGTCTTTCGAACCTCTAACAGACGTCGTATCTGTTAGAGTTACAAGTGACTGTAGCCACTTGTGCGTGTAATCCTGTTACACCATCCCCCCCTTAAGGTTAGACGCGCCGAGTCACGGCACGTCAATCAGGAAATTGACCATTCGTCAATTCTTCACGTTGGGAGAAAGAAAAATCGAGCTCATTCCGCAATGAGCTCGCCGCAGAAGAAGACCGCCGCCGCAACAGAGGGTAACCTCTCTGTTGCTCAGTACCATGAGCGCCAGCAGGTAAAGCGCGACGCGCTCGCTGCAAAGGCCGCGTCGGGGACAACTCAACCAGAGATTGTCCTCGAAGGTTCTTCTGTAGTCAACGACGCCGTTGACTTCGAGGACGGCGACGTGGAGATGGAAGAGGGCGAGGCCTCTTCTAGCAAGCGCATGGAGTCTATCGACAGCGATAGTCTCGACCCGCATGCCGGGTCGAGACGCCCTCGTGAAGGAGACGACTCGGACGCTTCGAGCTCAAAGCGTTCGCGCGGCGAGAGCGACACTCCGCTCTCTGCTGCTGGGGCTTTAAGCTCTCCGCGTGAGGTGGCGCCTTCAAGCTCTCCGCGCGCTGCTCAGGCAGCGCGCGATCCGTGGATGCCGTCTGCCTCAGAGATCGCAGACCGTGTGGGCAACACTGTGCCTCCAAACGAAATCCCGCTGTACGTATGCAGCGGTATCCACGACGATGCTGTGGCGGAGGAGCAGCACTTCGATCCGTTAACGAATCCAAGGCGCGATTACTATATCGGACTCTTTCACGAGCTCCGATACTTCTCCAGCAAGAAGACCTCTTCTCGCAGCAAAGTGCCTGAGTGGCAGGCACTTTGTCAAAGTTGGAATGCTTTTGTTGAGAACTTCAACAAGAAGCCGGCTGCTTACCGTGAGCGGGTTAAGCACGCCCGTGAACACTTCGAGACATTCTCGACGCGCGGGAGGTTGGAGCAGCTCCACAGATCCTCTGTGGACGCTGGTATTCCATGCGCTGTGCCCGAAGGCCATCAGTGCACGTTGTGTCTTCCGGGTGCGGTGCGCTTGAGCGACCGCGACCTAAACGGGTACACGACGATTCGTGTACCTGAGAGTCTCAAGGATCTCCGTGCCAAGTTCTTGGCACGCGAGGAACGCGACGATCGTGGGACCTCGGGCGCTGTAGGTGACCACAGCTCTCGCACTACCTTCGCGTCGGCAGTGCGTGGTGAGTTTCGTACGCCCTCACCATTTCCGGAACGTCCTGCAGCAGGACGTCCATGTATCTTGGTGGGGCGGAAACCCTCTCCAACGAATACGATAACGAACCGGCTGCCGGTTCGGTTTTGGGATACTATGGTTCACAATACGGTCAACAATCCAGCGTGTTGAGCCGCGGGCGTCGCGGATCGGAGGCGGCGGTGGTGGGAACACGCCCTGGGTATGGTCAACCTGGGGTGACCTTGGCCCGACGCTCGAGGAGCGGGTCGCTGCTGTGGAACAGCATCAGAGCCGGGAGTTCACCGCTCTGAAGCAGGAGGTGGCGATCCTGAGGGCTCAAGTCGCTCAGGCTTCGCAGACCGCGTCGGACATCTCTGTCGACGTGGGAGGTCGCGTCGCACGCTTGGCCCAGCGCGTTCACGCGCTGGAGCAGAGGTTCGCTCCCGCTGGGGCTTCCGCTTCGAGCCAGCCGAGCTAGGTGGCTCGTGCTGCCGGTATGGCTTCAGCCGCCCGACGTAAAAGGTCGGATGGAGGCGCATGCTAGATGGAATATCTAGCGTGTAGGCGTTGCCATGCCGTGCCAACACCGTGAACGGCCCGATGAAGCGCGGAGCGAGCTTGCTCGCCCCGAAGTCAAAAACTGTATGTTTTGGCAGGTTTTGAGTTGCTAACAAAACCAATGAACCCTTCTTGAATTCATTAGTGTTGCCCCTACCAACATTGTCTGCGTTCACCTTCTGTCGGTCGACAGAAGCTGCAATAGCGTCCTGGACAAACCGAATGACGGCTTGTCTGCGCTGCACGAAGTTGATTGCGTCCGAGCTGAACTCGTTCAGCTCGTTTCTAGCAGTAGGCCCGGCCTCTGCGTTCGTCTTCGCGGTGTCTGTGCCCTGCACAGACCCGTTCTTCTTCTTTTTCTTGCTCTTGTCAGCGTCTGTGCCCTGCACAGACGCGTGCTTCTTGTTCTTCTTGCGCGTAGTCGCGGCTGACACTGTGCAAGTGTCAGCGGTATTCTGCGGCTGCTGCGTTGCAGTCGTAGATCCTCCCCCACTTAAGGAAGGGGCCACCATCCTGCGTAGACTCGGGAGGCGTGGGTGCCTGATGGCATTCACGTAGAACGGTGTATGCCCGGTCGAGGCATGCACCGAGTTGTTGATGGCGAACTCCGCCATCGGCAGACACTCGCTCCAGTGTTGAGCCGAGTGAGCGTAGCTCTTAAGCACGTCTACGAGCACGCGGTTCACGCGCTCGGTCTGCCAGTCCGTCTGCGGATGATCCGCAGTCGACATCGAAAGTTGACTCCCAAGAAGTGTAAACACTGTTACCAAAGGTGTGCAGTGAAGCGCGGGTCTCGATCCGACACAATGTCGATCGGCATGCCATGGTGTTTGAACACCATGTCAACGAACAGACGAGCCGTCTGTTTCGCAGTCACTTCAGCGGGTACCGCAGCAAGATGTACCATCTTGCTGAAGCGGTCAACAAAGACCACAACACCCATGTTCCCCTGGCTGTCCGGGGGAAGACCGAACACGAAGTCCAAAGACATGGACTGCCAACACTCCCGTGGATTGGTAGTGACTGCAAGGGAGCCTGCGCGAAAGGCGCAGGCTTCAAACGTTGCCAAACCTCGCAAGCACGGACGTACTTGCGCACCCATTTATACTGGTGAGCCCAGTAGAAGTCTCGCGTGAGAAGAAGGTATGTCTTCTCACGGCCCGGATGCCCCGCAGTCGACGCATCGTGATACTCATACATGATCCTGAGTCGCAGGTCATGGTCATTGGGCACGACAACGCGGTCCGTGTTGTCGTCGACTGCACTGTAGAGTAGTAACCCGTCGTGCACCCGATAACGGTGTGCACGAGCACGAAGATGCTTCGGCAGCTTCGGACGAGCTTTGTCAGAAGGCGCTGAGCCGTAGGCTAGCAAGAGCTTCGCGTCCGCGTCGTGCGCGTACGCGACCTTCACGTCGTCCAACAGTGACGACGTCGGGGTGCTCGATCGCATGGCGTCAATGGCATTGACGTCGGCATCAGTCGTGGCGTAGTCAGGTCGACGCGAGAGCGCGTCGGCCACCACATTGAGTCTTCCGGGTTTGTACTCAACCCGAAAGTTATACTCTGCGAAGAATGAGAGCCATCTCGCCATCTGTTGCGAGATGTGCGGCGACTTCACAGCCGTCCGCAGCGACGCGTGGTCCGTATAGACCACGAACGGTTTGCTTCCGAGTAGATATACTCGGAATTTCGCGAGTGCGTACTTCATGGCAAGGAGTTCCTTGTCAAGTACCGGGTAGTTGCGCTCAGCTGGCTTCAGCTGACGCGATTGGTAGTAGACGAAACGATCACGGCCCTCGTGATCGTGCTGCATCAACACACATCCGATTGCGAAGTCGGATGCGACACACACAACGTGGAATGGGCGATCTTGGTCGGCCACCGCCAAGATCGGCGCCTCAGTCATGCCCCGCTTGACTGCATCAAAGGCCTGCTGACACTCAGCAGTCCAAACCCACTCGGTGTCCTTCTTCAGTAGCTGTGACAGAGGGCGTATCATGCCCGCGTAGTCCTTCACGTACTTGCACAAGTACGTGGCCAAGCCAAGGAACTGCCGCAGTTCCTTGACGTTCGACGGCGTCGGCCACTCATTGATCACTCTGATCTTCTCAGGGTCAGGGCGGACACCGTTCTTCCCAACGAGACACCCGAGCACGGGTATCTCGCTCGCCCCGAAGATGCACTTCTTCAGGTTCGCATAGAGCTTGTGCTTGCGCATGAGCGCAAGCAGCTTCCAGAGATGCACTTTGTGCATCTCAACATCGCTCATCCCGTCCGCAGCCCGGCTGTGGACGAACACATCGTCGAAGTAGCTCGGTGCGAAGTCGCGGACCGAGCGCAACAAGTGCGTCACGCACCTGTTGAAGGTCGCAGAGGCGTTCTTCAGACCCTGCGGCATCACTAGCCACTCCCAGAGCATGCCGCTCGGCGTGCTCACAGCCGTGAGAGGGATGTCGCTCTCACGCATGAGGATCTGATAGAACCCATCGCGCAGATCAAGAGCACTGTAGATAGTGCTCCTGGCCATCGAATCGATGATGACATCTTTTCGCGGTATCGGTGTCTGTGCCGGTATCGTCGCATCGTTCAGCTTGTTGTACGCATGAACGATGCACCAGCCGCCCTGTGGCTTCTTGACACGGAACGTCGGAGCACTGTGCGGGGATTTCGATTCCCGCACTTGTCCAGCTTTGCGACGACTCTCAAAAAAGTCGTCGATCGCCTTGACCTGCTCTCGCGGTAGTGGCCACTGCCGCGTGACACAGTACTTCGTCCCCGGCACGAGATCAATCTCGTGCTGGATGCTCTTATCCTGCGGAAGCTCCGCAGGAATCGCTTCCGGAAGTACGTCCGCGTACTCCCGTAAGATCTCGTAGTAGGGACTCGTTTTCAACGAGTCCCAGCTCTGCTCTTCAAAGCGCTCCTTCTTCGTCTTCGCACTGAGAGTGTCCTCGCTCTCAGTGGTGGTCTCCATGAAGAACTGCCTCAGTTCTTCATTCTCGCTCTTCGTTCTTTCGGCGTCCGAGAGAATGCATATTTGCTCGATGCGTCCATCGTGCAAGTCACGCGCGAAGCGCTTCCAGCTCATGACTGGAAGCGAAGTCAACTCCGACGCTTGCGTCGGAGGGTTAGCGAGAGTTATCTCCCTGTACCGGAACCCGGCACAGGTACGCGTCAAGACGTTTAACGTCTCCACGTCCGGCTTCTCAGCCTCCGTCTGCCCGGCAGACATTCCTTGTAGCGTCTCGGCCCCAGGCCGAGACTTGCGCAGCGATCTTCGCATACGCCGTCTTCTTGTTTTGCGGAGCCCGGCTCCGCTCGGTTCTTGACCTCGTCCAGGCCCAGCCGTGGACGGGTGTTCTTCTTTAGTACCGCCGGCGGGTTCATCCCGCGGGCGAGCGACTTCAAGTCCGGCTTGGTCGCCCGGCGCTTCGTCGTGCAGCCCGGCTGCACGGCAGCATGCAAGTTTTCCTGTGCGGGACGTTTGCAACCGTCCGCACCGCCTGCAGCGTCGGCTCCCGGAGCCGACACGCCATCTTTACCTCGACGCCTGTTATTGGCGGAGCCCTCCATTACGGAGGGTGCATCGGCCCCCCTAGCCGACGAATCAAATTTGTCCATGCTATCGACTCCCGGAGTCGATGCGGCTTCGATACCTCGACGCCAACCATTGGCGGAGACCCCCATTACGGAGGGTGCGTCGGCTCCCCGAGCCGACGAAACAAATTCGTCCGAGCCATCGACTCCCGGAGTCGACGGCGTTTCGTCACCTTGGCTCCTGTTATTGGCCAAAACTGATCCAATCAGATTCGCGTCAGCCCCCACGGCTGAGGCGTGTGACTCGCCTGTGTCATCCGTACCCCTTGAGGTCGGAGACTCTTCCTGATTCGCTGAAAAGCGGGTGTCGATCTCCGAGATCAACACATTTTCTCCTTCAGCCGTCGGCGGCGACGCCGACGCTTGCTGCTCTTGCGCGCGTGCTCGCGCGCGCCCAGGGCGCTCCGGGACGGCGGCATTAGGCGCTGTCTCGAGTGGGGAGTCGGGCGCACCTGTCGGTGCGTGCGTAGCAGCAACAGGGCCATCGCTCACTGTTCCGCTGTCGCGACCGAAGCGCACGAGAGTGCGCTTCTCCCAATCGATGACCGGATCATACCGTGCAAGCCACGGCATGCCCAATACCATGTCAAACTTATCGTCCAGATCCAGGACGATAAAGGTCTCGACAAACTCTTGATCTTCATACGTGAAGCGCACGCGTACCATACGCTTCTCGGTCTTTACGATGGCACCCATTGCCAGTCGTACTTCCAGCATACTTCGAGGTATCTTTAAATCCTCGAAGTCAAGCCCTGATAAACTTCGCAGTCGAACAAAGTTCTTCGACGCGCCAGAATCTACCAAAGCACGGAGAGAGCCGCTTGCTCTCATCGAGTTCACGTTCAGGATGACAAGGTCATGCTTGTCATCTTGGTTCTTGCAGTGAGAATGAATCTCACTCGGGGCTACAGTCCTCAGTGTCGCGTGTCCAAGGTCGACACGCGGAACTGCATTACCAGTAGGGCGCCCCGCGCCTACCGGCGTCCAGCGCTTTTTGTTTGGTTGCGACGGTGCCTGGCACCGCCGCGATAGCCACCCTGCTGGTGCACGGGGGCCGTGCACTCCCGAGCAAAGTGACCGATTCTACCGCATCGGTAGCATCGCACATTGTTTCGTTGCGACTGCTGGGGTCCAGCAGTTGCAGCGCTCGAGAGGTCCATGGGTTCTGGGCCTCCCGTCCTCACTATCGGGCGAGGCTGTGGCCTCGGCGCATGTTCATGCAGCTTAGCCTGCCGCAGGCTAAACTCCTCCTGCATTGCAAGAGTGATTACAGCTTCGAGAGTACTCGGGTACTCACGGAAGAGATAGGTCTTCACAGGCC